CTCATTGTACTTAAATGATGACATCAAAACATTTCACATATCTTTTTCAGGCAAGATTTGACTCGACTGTCATTCTCCATTGTTTTATAACAAGTAAATGTCATCAGCATTGGACTCAATTATTATTTGATTACAGGTAATTTAGTGTTGACAACTGAGTTGAAAATGTAAATTAGCCACAGTGAAGAGTTTAAAGGCTGATGGTTCAAGTGGTAGCCCTTCATCAGAGCAATTGGGAATTATTATTTGATGACTTTGGCATGAATAGCTCTAAAAATAAAGAACTAACCATAGCTAAAATTTAACCCATTGAAACATTTAATTTTGGCAGCGTAGTTGCCAAGTAAAAGCTTAGTTGAATGTAATCATTAACAAAATCTTTAAAATGGATTTGGATGAGATAAAATATCTTACTAACCAGTTGTGGTGGAGCTCTAAAGAGATAACTGAAGGGATAGTGTAGCAGGTTCACACAAGAGGCTGCATATAAATCAGCATAGCGTGTAGCTTGGCTGGCAAAGAAGGTCTGTCTGTTACCTAAAAGAGAGAATGTGGTAACAGTAGTAAGTAAACATGAAAAGCTGCTTAACTGATAGAATAATAACTTGTTGGTGATAAATTAGTAACTCTTGGAAGCAGTTGCGACAAATCGTCATCATAAACTATCTCTGTTCTGTTCTTAATAGGCTGAAAGCAGGTACTGTGGCTCAATTGCTTCTTCACTAGCAAGTTAGTTAAATGCCCTTGGCAAAGTGAGCTGGCAAGGTCTCAAGAGATCTAGCAACTCATTATCAGTGCCACACCAGGTGCAGACCTCTCGCTAACTGGTGTTGCTCAAGGGCTCACACTTATTTGGGGGCGAAGAATTTTTTGCACTTAAGTGCTTATAATAAGTGCTATGTTGTTGGTGGTTGGTACAGCTGTTGACTGATTTAGTTGATTCACAGAGACACAAGAAAACATGACCTGTGACTACTACTAAACTCTAGTTTTGACTCCCATCTGTGACCTGGGAAGGGGGCATCCCATTAAAATGTTACTAGGCTTTATCCCATTGACAAGGGTGATTCTTTACAAATTTTGACTGTGATAGGGTCTGGAGGGCACAGAGATCTGACACTAGTATAGCTCAGTATGTGCAATGGTCATTTACCAACTAACTGGTGTAACAGTGGCCCTGCACAAAAATTTCCACTGTTGGAAAGAGTTCAAAGGCAGTTCAAATGGAACAAGTGGTTAATTTTATTAAGAAAGATAACTAAAGGTGCATGAATGGGTCAGAAATACTTTCTTTCAAACTTGCACAATTGTTTATCATAATTTTGTGTCATGATTTGATGCTACACAAGCCATTACACTACAGATTGAGTGAGACATTAACAGTGGTGGGCAACAGTGTTTCCTCTTTACTTCTGTGGATTTGACAATCCACTGAAATACCTCTACTGAATATCACTATCATTAATTTAAAGAGTGTTTCCAAATCTTTGTTACTAATTATCCAAAATACAACTCATCTGAAAGCTGGAGTTTGATGCCATTGTAAATAGATAAGTGTTCATAACTTTAAATCAACAAAGTGTACAGCTGATAAGGAGTTAACAGACTTAAATGAACATTACAAGTTACAATCAGTTATTTAAATAATCCTGTTGTATTTTGGTCTTTGTTCTCTGTATTCAGCTTCAGTAAGAAACTTAGTCAGATCCTCTGTTTTTCCTTTTCCATGATGAGTTGGATAGGAATAATCCAGCAATTCTCCAAGAGACAATTTTGGAAACTTTTTGGCTAGTTCTTCATCAGATTGTCTGGTGAATAGCCTTGGATTGATATCAAGGCTGGTAGAACAAATGGGAGGGTAGATATTAGCAGTGTGATGATCCAAGCTGTAACCCTTTGGAAGATTATACTTATGCATGACAACAAACGCCTCTGAAGAGGATTTAGTGTCATGAAGCAAAAAACAAGGTAAATGCAAAAGCATTTTCAACGCCGATTCTTTAGCCATTCGAAGCTCTTCTGTAATAAATTTCAAGCGATTATCGAGTTCTCGTTTTGGCATTAAAATCATCCTCCAACAAGGATGCAACAAGTGGACATTCTCTATTTCTCCTTCCTTTTGAGTGCGAATAATTCCTCGAAGATAATTCACCTTATCATTTTGGTGGTCTTCAGTGAAAACAAGAACTGGTGGAGACCGTTCAATGAGTTTTCTTTTCTGTCTTGGTAACAAGCCTGATGGTTTTAAGTATTCAAGACGTTGAAGTAGCAGTTCAGTTCTCAAGTACAACACGTTCGGTTGTTTAAAACGAACGTCGATCGCATCCAAGTCGTGGTGATTCGGCTTCAACGGTTCAAGGCCTAAAAGTGGTGTTTTTGATTTTTCAAAGAACTTGTATCTCTGCAACTTCAACTTCTCCAGGATCACAACCTCTAACTGAGATTTAGAGCTATACTGCCTGAAAAAACCATGACGGGAACTTGGCTGGCGGCAAAGTTTAGCGACGTTTCTCCACATATTACCGGCGGATTTTTCTAATTTTTATACTTGACAAGTTAAGGAGTCTCAAACTAACTGTGTCCCGTTTTATAAGCACGATTCCTAACTATAACAATCAAAATTTGAGGAAAATCATGAACAAGTTTCCCATGCCATGGGCAAAGATGGCCGCCGAGCAAGTACTATTTACCAGTTTCTCCCGGACAACTTTCCTTTGTTGTCATGTAATGAGCCATCAATTATCCCCACGTTTCCTAAACTATCCTTCAGAGTCGCACTGAAAAAGAATTCTTACTTCAGATCACCACCACATATGTTGTAGTAGCAGGACATAAACTTGACGTTCATCTGCTCCTCATGATTTTTTGATGAGTACAGTCGTCAATCCTTTGCATTACTATCGTAAAACTCTCAAAATTCAAAAGAGCAGCTTTGCGATCTTACACTTAAATCTACGATCGTCTAAGATACTTCCTCCAGACCAGATGAATTGCAACTCCCATGAGCAGCTTCTTTTCGTTTATTGGCAGCCGAGAGGTGATCGTAGAATTAAGTTAGGATTTGACTCAGGATAGGCCCTACTACTGAACGCTACGGTCTCGCCCCATACGGGGGAAGGGAAGGGGCGCCGCTTTCTGAACATTCCACTGTTTCTTTTGATCACGAGTAAGTGGATGACACGTAGCAAAGGAAAATGTGTAGCACGGAGTATATCATTACAAGATGCCTTGTTTAGATTTCGAGTTCAAGGTGACAATGCCTTCTTTTATTTGGAAATAAGGGACTCTCACAAAAACGAAGGAGCATCAATTCTTCTCTTGTTGAGATTCCCTCTGCATGATTCACCAGACCCTAATGTTCATTATTTCGGTCATGAAAGTATGCCTTACTTATTCGGTGTATATTTTCCAGAAAATTTCATTAAAGTAGTGCTGAAACAAGAAATAATCTTTCAAGCCAAGGGATATAAAACCACACTGTTGATAACTAGTACCTTATTGCAAGATTCTACAAAATAACTGACACCACGAGCACCCAGTGATTGGTATGAAACCTACCGTTTATTGCATCGGTAAACCCATAGAATATTTAAACATATAATGTTTTCCTTTAGTTTGTTTTATTAAAGCAACAGACCACACTTCCTGTCGATTTATCGGGAGGATAAACCCACATGTTCTCCCAACATCCCAAGCGGATTCAGTTCAGTTCAGTCCAGTCCAGGCAGGTGTCTGTCGTTACCGATAATGCCCAGTGAGATCATCTATTCAGCTTGAGTCCGTCGAAGACGACGGCTCTTAAGTTTCTCCAGGTTCGTCTGTTAATCTATTTTTCTTCCTCTGCCGAGTGAATACTGGCTCAGCACCGATCAAAGTGTTTTGAGGTCTCTGTCCAGCACACTGGATTCGTGACCCAATAATGACCCAAGCGGGTTATTTCGTCGGTAAGGCGATAGAAAGTGTGGTCTGTTGCCTAAATAATTAATATCTCAAAACATATCAGTATGTAGAGAAAGATTTTTTTTCGTCTTGTCACGAGTGTGGAACAAGGAAAACAAATTCTGAGTCCCTATGAGGAATCGAACCTCAGATCATCGGATGTGTAGCCATTCAGTGTATGCGGTTTAAGTTGGACCTTCTACCACCCATGAACAAATGGAAAGTCATTAGGTTTGACTCTATTGTTAAATATTAAAAGCTGATCGAAACTCAGGAATGTTTTAGTTGTAGTTTGTTTTTCTGCGAGAGAAAGTTCATGCTCAGCAGCTTAAGTGCCACAGAAAATCCAGACCTATCAGGCAATTGTGTACGTTTCTGTGTATAATAATTCGCACGAATCGTACACTTATTCCAATTCAAATAATCGGCAAATTTTAGTACATGTATAGGTTTGGATGATCCGCCAACACTTGCCTCCTCTCTTGAGCTACGAGAATTGGAAAAGGTTTGGACTTACCGCTGCGGAAAAGACTCCCCATCTGTCCGTAACATGTCTCCATCATGTTCGTTACCTCCTGATAAGTAAAAACTCGAGATGTACAAAGAATAACAAAGCTCCCTCCAACATTGGACCACCACGATTAAATAAGAAGCCTCCAAGTATATTCTGTTTTTTTCATTCTACATTTATTATTATTTTTACAACGATTTTTACTAAAAGTTATGACCAAAAAGTTTAATCTAATAACAACACATTTCTTACAATAAAACACTTACACTACATAAGTTACAATAGAGAGGCTAAGGTAACAACTGGAATAAATGAATTAAGATGACAAGACAAAATAGTGTGTGAACGCCACGTTAAATAGATACGAAGCTGCTAAAATTACATACGTATGTGTCACTTTATCTTTATTTTTTGATAATTTCTTCTTTTTTTTCTTTCTTTTCTTTTTTTTTTTCCACAACTGCATTTGTTATATGCTTACTTACCCTTATGGAAGTTTTTATTTCTGTTATATCTGGTTTGTCAATCGCGGCCGAGTCCAAATTCCTAAGATAAATTAACATTATTCACGTTGAAAATGATTCCTCTGAAAGTCAGCAACTCACTCATGTATTCAGCTTGAAGGCTCACTGAACTAACAACCATACTGACAGCATTCAAACCTTTTACAACGAGCCTGTCTTTTATTCAATCACTTAACTGAATGTAACAGCTTAAAGCACCTCCTAAACTTACTTGTATGTATCAGCTAGTGCTATGTCAAGATCACGAAGCTTTGTGAAAACATCTGAAAAGGAGTAACAAGCCACATGTTATTATCTAGCACACCTGCAAGGAGTAGCGGTTGAAGACTGGGTTCTTAACGGTATTTTAGGACATGCCACACAGTTCTATGACAGTAAACACTCTAATTGGTCTCCTCAGGTTTCCAATAAGCCCCCTTCCCCTCTATAATCAGCAGTCCTCTCTAATAAGAGCCTGTGCCCCAAATTTTTTTTATGTTATTGTTAATGTTCTTTTTCATTTAGGCCTGGATGTCTTTTGGCACCAAAGATATATGTAAGTGAAAAGCCTGGGTAATCAAAACTGACAAACCTTGTCTAGATTGCCACACCTCGAGTTCTTTAGTCAGTTCTGGAATCACGAGGTATGTTCTAAAAGTTAAGACAAAAACAATGAATAAATAGACAGGATTTAATGTTAACATAAATAAAAAGTAGAAGCCCTAGGGATGTGCGGGGGGAAGGAATGTCAGAGGAGAACAGAAAGTTATCAGAATTGAAAGTGGAGCTAATTGTTTATTCTTGTACTTTTCCTTAATTTTTTTCTTAATTGTTTGTTATTGCAATCCTGGAACTTACTTGTCTTTTCTTTTCTTCATTACTTAAATTTTCAATAAAGTATTGTATAAAAATCCAAGTCTTTGGCTCTACCACCAGGATAAACATTTGTCCAATTCCTCATATATAATTACGTGTAGCACACACACATGCATAAACAATTTATAATATGCTTATTTTCAGTTCACCTCCATCCTTGCTTTTTCTTGGACTTGAGGATGTCACCAAAAATGTGGTCTCCAATGTACAGAATGTCCTGACAGAAAAGAAATTCTTGTCATTAAAACATGACATAAATTGGAATAAAATCACACTACATGGTCTGCTTACCTTTCCCTCTGCACCTAGAAGGTTACAAAACACATCAGAAGAACCTAGAAGACGACAAAAGGTGGTTAAGAAATTTGTAGTGTGTTTAGTGCCAATTGTTAAGGTAGAAGAAGGTGTGCACCTCATACAAGATTACCAGTAAAGAGAAATGACAACAATAAATGTATGCTGCCCTCTACAGGTTGTGCCTTACCTCCAGAGAACACTTGTCCCTCCTTTAGTTCACCAGAATATCTTCCAATGCTAAGAGCTCCAGTCTCCTGCAAAAATTAGCTCCAACAGTGAAACAGGGATTACGAAATAGGCGTTTATGATCAATGCAAATTCAAACATGTTTTAAAATGATTTGAAATACCATGTCTAAGTTTACTGGGCAAAAATCTATTTCTCTAAAAAATTACACTGTTAACAAAAATAATGATAGTAAAGTCGAGAATGATAAGATCAATAATAATATTCTAATCACTAATAGCTAATATACTAATGATAAGGGCAAAGTAAGACAGAAGAGCATAGCCCTCACCGTGTCAACCCTTCTCAGTGCTGTACCTGAAGGTGGTAAAAAAGAGAAATGCTTGTAAATTTGCAATAAAAAAGAAGCATATGTAACTGAAAACAATGCTTTACTATGTGGAAACTAACAGATATGTGACACATTGATTATTCATGTCAGGCATAATTGTCCATGTAGCTTATCAAACAAGTGTTCAATGAGGAGATTGAAAAAGAGTGGTTCCCTTACATGGCGTAAACAAATTTTAATTTACATTTTACCAGTCTATTTCCCACAAAATAACCACTTTTGAACTGTACACTAACATTTAACCCTTCAATACCCATGAGTGACCAAGACAGAATTTCTCCTTACAAGATCAATACAACACCAACCAGACAATTGATGAGAATAAAGAAAAATATCAATTTGAGGATAATTAGTTGATCCAATACTAAATTCTATGATCTAACATTCAAAGAATTGTATGGTTGACAGTAAGGAGAATGAAAAATTTGATCTGACTGGGAGTTAGGGGGTTTAAGGTATATTATAAAACAAATAGTATAGCATTTTATTCCTTGTTTTAACACATATAACAGATTAGGTCCACAAAGGACCATAGTTGCACCAACACACCTACAACATGAGACTACGTCAATATGCGGCATAAAATTAATTTGTAATAGCATACTCTCCCTACCTTCTCCGAAAAAGAGTGGTTTTCTAGCATCTACACCAACATAATCAAAATAAGATGTCCACTTCTTGATAGTCTTTCCTGACTGAAATACAAGACATATTATATACATGAGAACTAGCAGAAAACTGGCATTTTCTGCAGGTTACTACTTTGAATAAGAAACAGTACATTTCTAAAACAATATGGAATACCTCATCAGTTTCATTTAACAAGAAGGACATGATTTTCTGCAGTGGACAAAAAAAGAGAGATCAGTTTAAACAATAATCTTTATATTACTTTGAAACAAAGCCAAAGAAAATAAATTAAATAAACTACTTATATCAATAATTTTTAAGAATCCAAGGTAACTTACATCTGTGTATAAGAAGTCACTGTTTGTAAGAATGAACGTTTTGCGGTTACTTTGCCTCATTCTGTGATGGAAAAAAGAAAAAAAAATTAATTGAAAACAAACAACAAAATTAGTAAACAACAATATTCCTTCAACAATATTTCTGCTCAACACTGACCTGAAGAAATATTGTCAAAAGAGTTAAAATAGGTTAAAAAAGTGAACATACCTAGTCAGTAATTTTGGTAGTTTAGGCTGCAAGAAACAAAGACAAATTTACAAATTAATGTGAAGTTTTAACTTTGTTTTGATACTAAAGGAATTAACAAATCATAACAAGCCTGGGAAAAGTTACCTGTGAGTGGGCACCATAAGCTTATAATGGCAACTGGAATCCTTTACACAGATACACAGCAAAAATACTACCAAGCAAAGGATTTGAAAACAATAGAACTAAATGATGTTTAACATTGGTTTGATACTCTTGGCAGTGAATTGAACCATTTATGACTATTCATCAACAAACAGAGGGGTTGACATTATATACAGACAGACCTCAGTCTAGCTTTTTCAACTTTTATTATGCAGGGATTTTTGATACAACTCCATACCAGTGATTTCAACTCTCATAGATTAAAGGATCTTATTTTTTCTTTGAGCTTAAAGAAGTAACTGAATGGAACAAAATTATATCAGTGCACTGACAGCAAATTAAGAACTGACCTCTTTAATAACATAAGTCTCAAGATTGTCTACAGTTAATTGCTTCAATGTGCCCTAAAAGAAAAATAAAATAAACAATTGCAAATCATGTCATAGTTGCCAGAGAGTGTTAAGATTAATCTCCACTACATCAATTTTTGTACATTAACATGATGAAACATGAATTAAATGGCTACATTTAGCCAACAGGTTTTTTGGTGTCCCATCATAGCAAATGCTGTGTAACCTGTGTTATCAGGCACTAAACTTCTTCCAAATTTCACTGTGCCTTTATCAACATAGGAGTATTCCCTGGGTAGGAACTGCAACATATTTTATGAGGAGAAACTTGTTAAAAATTCCATTGACAGGTAAACTTTCCTACAACAGCAGTGCAAATCCTTATGACACATAATTTTGTAATCTTGATGTTAACACATTGACACAAGTCACCAACCTAAGGTCTCAAATTTGTGTGTCAGTTGTTATGTTACAAATTACCTTTAAGTGTACCCAGTCTACTGCTGCTCTGATGTCTTGATGAATGCTTTTGTAGGTCAAAAGCAACTGGTCAGAGCTAATTACACCATGATTTGTCCTGTGCAGGATGAAGTATTGGAGAAATGTATGAATTAACCCCATACTTATAACTTAATATCTAACAGTCTGGATAGAGAAATTCATAAAGTAAATGGTACTACTACAACAAAAATTTTTAAAACATTTCAACACTGCAACACAATAAGACCAGCATGTATGTGTATTTGATGGTTTTATACAGGGTTGATAGACATACAAATTTGTTTGTTTGTTGGCTAAAAAAAAAAAAAGGTTATCATTTAGTTAATCAAATACATAATTATGTTGGTTTTTGTCTCACCGTTGATAACCAGGACAGTTGTCAAAGTAATCCACTAAACAGGCTAGCAAATGTGTTTCTGCCATTGATTACAGGGGAAAAAAGGAAAAATTAATTTTTGTCCAAGTACAGTTAAAACACTTTTAACCTGCACGGAGATATTGAATTGTCAGTATCACCGACTGAGTAACTTTCCAAATAAAGAAATTTGTTGTTACAATGTGAGTTCTTTAATTTAGATCAGTGTGTTAAATGATAAACATTCCATTTACCTGGCAAGTTGAACAATGTATTCAATATGAAATATCTTGAAGAGTCAGACTGTAGATAAAAGTAAAGTATTCATTACTGAATAACTTCAAATTCTCACAAATTTGGAAATTCTACAGAAAGCACATCAAGAAGTCAAAAAAAAGAAAAAAACCCTATCTCAAGCACTGCTAATATAAACTATTATTAATAACTTACATCTCTTTGGGGTCATTTAATATTAGATTGTATCCACATGTACATATCCTAAGTGTAGTCATGTACACATTTATCTTATGGCTCTAGCTCTTCAAGGGTGTGTAATTCAATTTTTCATGTAAAATTGAATGGTGATGGAAAACCATGATAACTTTGTGTGAACTAAGCAATAACTTTCCTTTAGAAAAATAGTTCTGTTCTTTTAATAGATGAATGCTTGAACACACTTATAGGTTGTACATGGGGCTAATAATAGAGGGTAGAAGGGATAGAAAAAAAATACAGTGGACACTGTAATAAAACTCATCATAAGTAACTAGCTTACAACCAAAGAAAATATTAAGTAATTTTTGTCAAAATTTGAGAAAAATTAAATGAACTAATTGATAGAAAATGTAAGTTAAATTACCTGGACAAACTTATTTGGGTACAATTTCCTCACTTCATAACTGTAAATACAAATTAAAAGAATCACTTTTGAAAAAAACAGAACTCTAAATCAGATATACATAAATTTGTAATACAGAGTAAACCAATCAAAAGGACAATTTGCATCGTATCAACTAAAATATAATTGTATGGATACATTTAGTGAAGGTGAATATACAAGTTGTATAGAGATGATTGAGTGTTAGAAAAAAATTGGTAAAAATTAAAAAGTGAATGTCAACATACCCACTTAAGAACTTAAAACCATGCACACAAACAAGAATGTTTCCATAGGTGTCAACCTACAAATCAAAGAAAACTCATTAGGATTATTTTTAAACTACTACAAGGATGAAATCATATGGTTCCCAGAGATGTCCAAGCCCACACCAACAAACAATATGTATAAGGAAATAGTTTTTTTCTGATTCCTTTCAGCCAAGTGAGAGTCATTGAAAGACATAACTATTATAAGAGGATGGCAAAAGGTTTACATGGTGTGTGATCAAGGCCAAAATTAATATGTGATCTATCAATTTTACAAAATGTTGAGCGTGATTTGTAAAATTATGAACCATGTGTGGTGTGTGTGAGGTATGATTTACCTCCTCAAATATACATAACCATGATTTTTTTCTTTCAGTTGGTGATAAACTCAAGATTTTCCTGAAACCTTGCACACAAGAAGAGAAATTTGAAGTCAAATATTGTTTTAATTATATGTGACATCATAATTTTTCTAAATTTGTGTCTGAAACAGGATCAGGACCCCCCCCCCCACCTTTGCCACCCTCTTATTAGGGCCTATTAACATTTAAAAATTTTATAACATTTCTTCTGCACCTCAAGATTTATTAGACATGCATGTCTATGAGCTTTAAGTATACATTTGACAAAATAAAAATTTGCTGGCTATTGCACATTTTTCTTGTGAAATGTCAGTACACCAGAGTCACACACCTTTAATAAATTTCCTAGCTCACAGTCAAAAAACAGACCCCTAGAAAAGAAAGATTAGAGCACATTTTCAAATGAAAATCAATAAATTTTGTTGTAAAATAAACTTCAGTTAACCATTTCATTTTTCTTTAACTACTGAAGGAAAACTCTATCTTTTCAGTAATTTCTGACTATTAAATGTAAGGCTCAATGAAAACATTTAATCTGTAATTAGGGAATGAATTAGGGAATGAATAGGAATTTTAAGAAAACATGAACTGTATAGTGTCTCTATTGAATGCTAATTAAAATACATACCTGACTGGGAAGGAATCACTGTATTCAAAGTCAAGTACATCCTAAATAAAAATAAAAATTTAGGGTGTTAAGGGTTAAAGGAGGATTAAGGGTATTTCTTTTTACACAGTACATTTGAGGGACAAAGCAACTACAACTTAGGGTGCCAAAACAAGAATTAGCAAATTAACAGCTATTCATAATTTCAAAGTCTTCCATCAGTTATTAATTATCAATCTTTGATAATTGTATAGTTTGTCACTCATTAAAAAACAAAACTTAGATGAAAATCAAAATACCTTTGGGTAGCCAATGGAGGCTAACCTTTCACAAATTAAATCAAAGGCTTTCTTTTCATAGACAGGGGATTTATACACTGCAAGAAATTTGAATTAAAAGTTAATCTGCATGTTTTATAATGACTACCAGTTGTATTGTACTCATAGTCATTTCATACCCAGTCATTTTGTACATGGCTTGGTTGTTTTGTACCAAAACTAATAAAGTAAGTTTTCCATGCAAGTATGTTTAAAGTAAGGTCTGTTTCTTATTGTCAATAGCAATATTACCAGCCTTAAATAAATTTTGTTAACATGGTGTCCATTTTGACATATGACCACCAAGTATGAAAAAGAGGCTTTTCAATTAAAAGTATCACGTTTTCCTTGTGCTAGGCAATTACTAAGTTGTTCTTGCTTTCTTTTTGCATGAATCGATCAGTGGTGTGGGTACAAATCAACCAGTACTTTGGGTACGAACCAATTCAAACATGGATATGAACCGACTGCATTTGGGTTTGAAACAACTATCTACAAAATGACTGTGGGAATGAAACCACCGGATGCCAATAGATTGGGCCTACCCACCTCAAAAGACATAAGCAAGTAGTAAATCATTGGTCCTCCAAAAAATTGTTCCAATTTTACCTTATAGCATGTAACAAACTGATCAAGTCATACCTGCTAGAGTATAGTCCATATCAAAGCCAAAGAATTTGATCTTGTCTAAACTAAGACTTCTATTCACAAAAACTCTGAAACAAAAGATTAGATTTTTGGGATAGGAAAATTGGCTAAATAGGGATATAACAATGGGAATGTTTGCAGTAAAAAGTTTTAACCATATTTCATGCTGTTGTAAAAGCATAAACAGAAAGTGACTACAATATAATGGAATCAAGAAAATTACATTTTCCTTAAATTGACTAAGACAGGGTCTATAATTAGCCACAGAATAAACAATATTGGGGTAGAGGTTCTGACAGGACAAATATTGACCTAATTCCCCCCTCCCCCTCCCCCTCCCCCCCCCCAACCACTGGTACTACTCTACCCTGGACAAATTGTATAATCCCAAACAATTCATAGTTACTTTAATTCCAGAATAAAGCCAGAACATGGAGAAACCTGTTTGCAGTATCTCTCTTGAATGCCTTTGAGCCATCAGGAGTGTCAATTCCCACAGAGTTTTGGTCAAATGGGTGAGAGGGGTAAGGCATCTTCAATTCTACGGCTTCCTTAGGAGCACTCTTGACCCTGCCTTCCTATATTGGGATAAAATCATCAGCCACAAAACAAATTATGTTGGAAGTAAATCAAGATGACATATTCATTGTTATTTCATTCTTCACCTTCCACATGCTCCCTGACTTTTTCTACCAATATTATTACTCTAATGATCTGTGGATTTCATTCATAATCGTTTGACTTTCTTAGGGATATTTGCAGTTAAGATCTGAAAATTTACTCTACTTTTACACCTAATTTAAAGTAAGTAAACATATAGGAACAACATCTACAGATGTGATAACCAAGATATGGAATAACACGGGAAAAGAACTCTGATCATATACACTGAGTAAACAAAACTTATGCACCTCACTCAAATAATTCATTAATATCAAATTTACACAGTGCCACATAAAAAAGATAGAGTCACAAAACTTTTTCAGCCAGTGTTGTTGATGGATGCCTCATGAACATTTTTCAGCAAATTATCCTTGTATCACAAAAAGTGACGTTGGTATGTCTTGTGCTAACTGTACTGCATTATTGATGTTAAGTTTATCTTTGTTTTCTTTTTGACCCCAAGATGGATGTATCAGGGTAGAAATATCATGGTCAAAACAACATTCCCCTTGATTAATATTCCACTGAAGAGCAAGAATCGTTTAACATGATAGTTACAGATATATATTAGATAACATTTCATTCTAGTTTGCAAATATTGATAAAGTAACTGTGTCGAGATGTAATAAAAAGGTTAATGAAAGCAACAAGCCTATCAATTCATTTACAAAAGATTTTTGGAGGTACTCAGTATCCACAGATGACTGATTTTTGTCATCCACATAAAATTTTTTAAAGTGAATCAGTTGTTATGATTATATTGAAGGTCCTTCAAGGTTCACTGTGCAGCATGTTGGGATTTCAGTGTAGAGAAGTACCGAATGATATAATGTACTTCCAAGAGTACTTCTTCTGCAAACTTGTCTGCACAATAGATAACATTAATACAAAATTGATCACTGAAGATTATACATTGAGAAAATGTTATACCCTTCATTGGAATTGAACATTAGAATGGTAAGCAAGCGAAACGCTACAAATTGTAAAGAAGCACTGTAGAAAAATCAGACTGGTAAAAATTGACAATCACCCTTATATAAAACATATAAACATCCTCCTTTTACCGGAAATTTTCTTGTTTATTTCACATGTTGTATCTTCACACTTTAGCTTGAAGTTTCGAAATGACCATGGTTCACTGGATGACAATAAAATTATGCAATTCGTCCCACGGTTTACAACTAGTCCATTACACAACGATTCCCTCTACACATAAATGTTTAACTAGAAACTCTTTACAGGAGGTGTACGAGTTAACTTGCGCGATTTTCGTCTCGAAATGATCGCCACAACCTCGAAAAGGGTTCTTATTCAAATGACCAGTATAAAAATTTAACCCAATTAAAAAAAAAAAAAAATATATATATATATATATATATTGCCTTCAGTGATATGCATCTTTCGAAAAATTACTGAGCTACTTGTAAGACCCAATATATGACTGCTAAAATTGGAAAATTGTTCTTATAAATGTAAGTAAAAGCCAATAATTTCATTCAGCTGATAAGCGATTTCTTTAGCTTTGTCACGTCATCGCTGAGAGATGTACCAAGCGAGGAAAAAATCTTACCTTTGGTACCTTCAAATATTCAACATCGTTTGAATTCAGTTTATTCTCTGTATCCATTGCACCAAGGCCAAACGTTTCACAGGCTTCGTTTTTTAAATACTCGAAATTTGGACGATTAAATTTTGAAACCCTCAGAGAACAAAGAGAGTCTTCAAATAAACCCGTTGGCTCACCGAGAAATATCCAACAGATAACCAAAACAAGAATGTGATTGGTCAAAACTAACAATGGCAATGTGTTGTTTCGTGTAGTTTTCGACCTCACGCAACTTCCAGTTCACTCATGTGACTCGCGTTACATTACACTGAAATATGTCGAAAATTTCGCTTATTTCCCACAATTTCCAACGTTTCCTCATGTCCAAACGGAAAATATAGGGCAACAATCTAAACAATCATCTTGTCGATTTGAATCTCTTTTGATTCAATGACGAGAGCTAATGATATGTGCATCGTAAGCACGCGCTGAAAGACACTAGCTTCATTTGAGAGCATGATTCATTTTTACTTTGATGAATATGAGACATGCCTAAATATTCGACCTACAAACCTTCACTGTTGTTCATCAAATGAAAATTTACCTTTGATCTTTTCTAAAAGATAGAAATCAGCTTGCACAAGCACAAAACCCCAGCTCTCAGAATCTCTTCTAACTGAACTACAGACTATCTGCAGCGCTTGACAGTGAATTAATAAAATGTGATTTGATTGGTCGAAAAATTTTTTCCAGAATGTGACCTATCACAGAGAGCTCTTTTACGGAAGAGACCTAGGGGCAAGGTCAGACAAGAAACTAGTCGACTTGAGCAAATCTTTTAATAGTTATTTCACGGAAAACGTGTCCCAGGTAAGTGCTCCTCTATCGACGACGGATCATGACGCTTTCCCTGATCGTATCTTACTTTTCCTTCGAATGGTGTGTAATTTTGTGAAGCTGGATCACACTGTGATAGGTTAGTTGTTCTGCGTGACATCTTTTTCCTCGTTTATTTTTTTTTGTCTTGCTTTTTTGAGTCTTTTAATTTAGGTCTTCAAATCTCAGCACAATGAACACTTGTTTCCAGAGCTAAGCTATTTTCTTAGTCGACGTGGCCTGGGCACCAAATCCAATTTAAATGAAACTTAGGTACATGGCGGAAGTTTTCCTGTAGCAAAGCACTTTCTGCTTCTCATTGACACAAGAAATAAGGTCAGTTGTTGGCTCGAGCTGTCTTGTATTTGTTAGATTATTTATGTAACCGAAGCGTACTTCTAAATTTAGTATTTCAGTGGACAGATTTAACTGATAAAAAAAACATTAGTGGTGTTTTTCGGTTGTTTATCGTTAGTGTGCAATATCATTTTCGACTAAACTGCGATGCATGGTCTCGGTAACGAGAGTATGTGTTTACATGATTGTGTTAACAGTGATATAATTTTAGTCGTAGCATTTTTCGCTGCGCAGAGTGAAGTAAATACGAACATTCTGCAAAAGTAGTTTGCAGGATCCGAGACTGAAGAAGTTTCTTTTCTGAGGATTACAAAATTAATCAGGGAACGTGAGAGTGGCAGGGCCAGGCTTCTGAAAAGTTCACCATAATATTTCCTGTTTTTCAACTTTATGTGAAGCTTATTTTTCGTCCAAACTCTCAGAGAGCAGACTTAAAATTTTCAGTTATCTTGGCTTAAATAAGAGTTTTCTGTTCCTCAAAGGGTTTGTTAAAAGTCCCAAATAGAGGTCAGTTGAAATATTTTTATCTGTAGAGGAGGAAAATGAAGAAAATTCTATCTTTATGTGTCTTTTTGTGTAGGAATGGTTGTTGTTTAGTTCAAATTTTTGTCTTTTTCCAGCCATGTATACCTTAATGCTCACTCTGGTCAAAAAAAGATGTTAAATGAACAGGGGTGAATGTAGTTTACTGCTTGAACTGATTCAGAGCCAAACACTTGTTGCATGTTGATACTTGCAGGTTTTTAAGCAATGCCATATCATCTTAATAGGACTTAAAACTCAATGTTCAAAGCTTTTCAAGCTTTCGTTTAATGAATGAACACATAGAGGTAAATACAGGGAAACACATTCGGAAAAACAGTAATGTACAGCTACAATTATTTAAACCCATGAAATTTTGATCATATACGTGATAAAATTACACCATATAAAATTATATAACCATACTTTTGATCTGTCAAGAGTGATAAAGATTTAAACAAAATAATAATTGATTTAGAGAAATACTGATAGTTTAATTGATTATCTCTTTACTGTTAGACAGTGATGTATTGGTAATTTTTATCAAAAATTAAATTTTGCCATTTCTAAGTGAATTTGATGGGGTGTACTGCTGAGCACTAACCCTGTTGTAGATAAAATCTGTTTATTTGGTTACCCTGTTTAAGGTACATGTATAATTGAGGATACTGCAAAATTTTTTATTTCCAAAGAAATTTTATAACTTAACACTGTCCTTGTTAGAAGTATTCTAGCAACTGGTCATAGGATGAGGTATTCTTTGAAAATATTTGGATAATATTCATTTTTTATCTAAAAGAGTAAACATTGTCATAAAAAAATGCTGAGATATTTGAATTGTGCAATACTTAAGAAGAATAAATGACTAGCTCAGTGATCTAGGACCAAAAAGGACACACACTTTAACTATTAAATGCTCCTCCAAATGCTATTAATTATTTTCCACAAACTTTGACTATAAATCTTTCCTGTAACATGTTTTGAAAGATGACAAAGTTTGGGAAATTTGAACAATAATGATATTACTCAAAACTAAAAAAAAAATTCTTGAAGGTGATTGGTTATCACCAGCCCAATTTGAACACTACTAGGACAGTGTAAACATCAGGCTTGTAATTGGACACTGCAATAGAACAGTTGACGTCATGCCTGTGTTAGTCAATAGTATGTGTCGTGTGTGCCATCTTTGGTTGCACATTTCGCTGAGTTAACAGTTGTTTTTTGTTAGTTTCTTTCTCAAATTTTGTCATAGTTTTGATTAATTGGTATCGGGACTTCATGTTGTCTAATTCTGTTTGTAATCATACTTGTGACCAACAATTGGACTCCTGCTTTTCAGTTGTCCATTTTGTTAATCACTCTTATGATTATAGACCAAATTGGATTCCAATGAGTCTGATTACCATTATGAATAAGGTTACAGGACTCACTGGAAGTTAACATGTTAATGATCACTTTTTTGTTTGGTTTCATTTGGGACTAACTCTCTATTTTTACTTAAGATATTTACAAGAAATGAACTCATATTGTTAGACACACTTACTTATATTAAGTGTTTCTAAAACATTTACTCAATACTCAAGACTGACTGAGAGATGAACATCTAAGTTTTTTACAGAGGAGAGATGAAATTTATCTGGTCCTAACATTCTGATGCTAAATGAGTCTGGGTAATTATTTGATGGATGATGGATGATGTCTTGTATGCTTACATTATATTCCTTAATAAATAATAGTATCTGTCTTAACTTCCATTGCTTTAAATAACATTTTTACAGTCATGTTAATCCTTCTTTAATCATATTTAGAGGTATCTAACAAAAGGGTACTTCACAATTAATTTTGGTAAACTTGGTTTACTTTGCTTATGGTGATCTACAATGAGTTTAGTAAGAGGTGAGAGTAAGAGATTATGTCTCTGCATTAAAATCTTTCAACCTTTTGTTAAAGAGATCAACTTGAGATTTATAGAAAGACTGAGAACATGCCCTTATAAGGGAAATCTTTGAGTCAGACTGTACCCTCTTCACTTGCCATAGGTTATTGATGGGTCTTTCTTTCTAATTTGATGTAGTTTATGATGAATTCTGCTTCCTTGTGGGTCATTTAATCAGGCATTATGAATTATCTTGTGCAGCCAGACATTTATTTATCTTCTCTGAGATCCTCACTTGGCTGTATTTGTTTCAGGAAGGGGAGCAATGGTAAATATATAAACCATCTTTGATTTAAGAGGTCAACTGAAGATTTGTGTCAGAAAAAGGGATGTCCTTTCCTTCACTTCCCTTAATTGCCATATTTTCATGTATGATATTTGCTTCTTGTGGATTTTGACTTTCAGCTGTTTGGCCAGATCCCATTTCAACTTCTGCCAAACAATCAACTGACTTTGCCAAGACCTCAATGTACTCCTAAAAGTTGCAAGGTATGATACATCATCAGTAAGTTTGTATATCATTTGAAGTTAAAATTACAATACAGTATAGTTTTTATCATTTCAATATTACTTTTTCCGTGGTATTTTCTTAATTAAGCTTTTCCTTTGTTTAACTGCTTTCTAAGCAAGCATCACATATGAGAACAAAAACATTAACAAGTGCCACATCTAGGATTGAGGAGCTTGGTTGGGAAATGTAACTAAAACACTGTTGAGAAATAGTTTTGTCTGAAAAGGCCTTGGAAATGTTTTCCCTTGAAACAATATTTTCCAGTTTGAAATAGTTGTACTTTTAAACTCAGATCATTGAAGTTTTTAAGAATGTAGATCAAGTTAGAGGGAGGGGAGATCTTATATTTTTCACATTCACACCTGGATTAGACAATGAATGATGTCTTGAGTTTGTCTTCACCTTACTCATAACACTCTTCCTCAGTGTCATCATCGCTAGGGTCAGTGTCATTGTCACCAAAATTATTGTGATTTGAGACATGGATGTTTGACTAAGATTATCATAGTTTCCCATTTTATTACCCTTTGTTTTGTAATCAATATAATTATTCTCTACATATCCATTCCCATAAAAAAAAGATTAAAACCAAGGTTAAAGTTAAACTAAAACACATTCATATTAAATACCTGAGATGATTCAGATGAGAGAAGTTCATCAAGCTGTTCAGTGAGCTCAAAAAATTCAGGACGGCTTTTAGCATTTTCACTCCAACATTTTACCATTATTTTATAACTAAAGGAGAAGATAAAAGCTCATTATAAACAAGATTTTATAGAATATCATCAGTATAAGACAATAATGAAATCAAGACATCACAGTTATCAAAAGCCAAGTTACAAGATCTCTGTCTTGTGACAAAATGGATACCTCTCTAGGGTAGACACCCAAGGCAGGACCCACAGCCAAAACTATGAATGGCTTAATTAATTGCTCACTTTTTAGAAAAAGTGAATTTCAAATACAAAAGGGAGGTTGTTTGGATTATTCCAAAGTGCTCCATACATTCTGTAACAAGCTGTGCAAACTGTATCACTTGATCATGTGACATAATTAGTGTTTAGTTTAATAGTTCTATAAGAATGATTCTGAGTTTTAAATCTCGGAATAGGTATGTATCAAACTCACATATTATCAGGACAGTTAATTGGACATTCCATTCGGTATCCATTTTTAAGTATTGTAAACAGCCTTTCAACAGGAATTCCAGGATAAGGTGTCCCACCTAGACAAAGTAAAGTTAAGAGTTAAGATTCAAAACAGGGTTAAGATTAAAAGCAAATTCTCATATATTGTGGTTAAAAAAATGCTGAAATACTGGCCAAAGTTCAGAGAGGTTTTGGATAATGTTCTTACGTATTTTATACCTACCAAGGGTGAATATCTCCCACAAAATGATCCCAAATGACCAACTGAAGAAAAAAAATAGTCACAAAAATAAATCAGAGTGCACAGTTGTAGGACTAGGCCCTCTGCTACCATCAATAAAATGGGTACATTTGTATGTTAAATTTAATTGGTGAATTGAAAAAAATAGGTAAATTGAAAAAAAATTGTCACAAAAATAAATCAGAGTGCACAGTTGTAGGACTAGGCCCTCTGCTACCATCAATAAAAAGGGTACATTTGTATGTTAAATTCAATAGGTGAACTGAAACAAAATGAAAAAAAAAATGAATGAATGTCATACAAATGACAAGAGGAAAAAATTTAAATAATTTATCAAAAAAAAAAAATAGATATATATTCCATGAACCAAGTATCTTACACATCAGTCTTGACTGTATACTGTTGGTCAAACAGTGCCTCTATTGCCAGCCATTTTACTGGAAGACGTCCCTGAAATAGAGATGAATTAAGTTGCATTTTTGAATATTTTTTCCATAACTGATCAAGCATAGTAACTACAATGAAAACTAATTGCATAAATTATAATTATGCATGATGAAAAAACAATCAATGTTTACTAAATGTTAATCAGGTAAAGTTAGTTTTGGTTTTAAAACACAATTTAGTCTCAGACTGAAAGTTTGTAATTCATGCAAGTCCTATGATAGCAAAATGCGTAGCATAAAAATGCACAATTTGTCATACACTAGTCAAAGACCCTTTTTCAATAGTATAAATCTTGTGTGATTTCTTATCACTGTAAATAGCTTATCAAGATGTACGGCACAAGACTATTGCTTCTATCTGTTTAAGCCTTCTGTGGAAAATATAACAACACTTACATGAGTTGTTCTCCTGTAATAATCTGTGTTGCCCAGATTTCTAGACAATCCAAAGTCTGCTATTTTAATGACAAAGTCTTCAGCAATTAAAACGTTCCTTGCAGCTAGGTCCCTGTGTATACACTACAGAGTAGTTTGAGGGAAATGAACACCAAAAAAATGTTATTAATATTTCCTGGCATTATTAAGCAAAAGGCCGATGTGTTTATGCCTTTAACTGAGTTTTGACAATATTCTTGTGTACTGGTAGTATATAATACTCTGACTAATTTATTGTGGTTGTGTCAAACTAAGATGATTTTCTTTTTTCTTAAAATCCATTTTTTAAATGGATGCCTTAACACATCAGGGAAGAAACAATTTAGTTTACAAAGGTTCTAGGATAGAATAGTTCTATATTAGTTTTAGGTGAATGAGCCTTAGAAGCCTAACAGTTAATCTAAGATATTCTTTCCTTGTTTGGAAGCTAGTAATTGTTGTAATCAACTGTTGTGAATGCTTTCTTCTGTTCAAGTGAAAAAAAAAACTACAGAGAATTAAAAAAATAGTTGAAATTACCTTAAAATTAACAAATTGTGTAACAGTCAACAATCATAGTTACAAGGAGTTTCAAAACAATTACATGGATGATTTTTAATGACTAGTTACCTTTTTTGAAGACAGGTAACTCATTCCTCTAGCTATTTGATATGCAATTGATAACAAATCCCTAAGTGTTAACTGAGCTGTAGTCTTTCCATTGATGTCTGTCAGAGAGGGTCGATTATCACGAAGAAAGTCACGCAAGTTTCCATGTGGACAATACTCAACAATGAGATATAGGGGACCTAAAAGAATGAAATCTCAAATTGGCTACAAAATCACACAATCAGGAAACAATAATTGATCACAGTTTTCATTTAATTTATTATTGGCATACATGTAATATCTAAAAAGTTAAATTTAGCATTTTCCTTCTTGATTTTATAGCTATTGTTTTTACCACAGCTCTCTCCATTTTCTTAATAACCCTCTACATGTAGCTGTGCAGTCAGGTAGAAATGAAATAATTGTGATGTTTGTGATAATAATTTGATAAAGATGCAGGATGCATAATTTGAATCTTATGATTTTAAGACTTGAGATTGTTTCCCAAATTAATTTGATTTAGATTTTTGATTTTCTTCTTTCTTGAACCATGATACATGGACAGTTACCATTACCTTGTACAGTGCAGGCCCCAAGAAAGTTCACTATGTTCTTATGACTTCCTATTTCCTTCATAGTTTCCATTTCAGAGATCAGATCAGACAACTCAGCATCAGTGGCATTTTCTATGAAACAAAGAGTTACACAGTTCAAACAAGTTATATGATTTTACCGCAACTTGGTCTAAAGATTATTTTCAAAGCTCATCAGAAATCATCCAGCAGAAGTTTCAATTAGTTTCCTTTTGTTTTCAAGGCAAACTTTAAATTTTTTAACAACAGTGAATGGACCACCTGTTCATTTAGTCATGAAAATTTCAGTAAATCTGTAAAGTTTTCTGATAATCCATTAATGAATATTAAAACTAACTACCAACCTTTCAGCATCTTTACAGCAACAGTACAAGGTGTAGAAGTATTTGGCAGTTGAAAAGCTTCTGCCTTTGCAACATAACCAAATGCGCCTTCCCCAGCTAGATCCTTTATAAAAAGCATTTCTCTAGGAACCTCCCATTTTTCATCCAATGGATATTCAAATAAATCTGAAATAGATAACCATCAAAAATTGTGGTTGAAATTAGGCTTGAAGTACTTTTCTAGATTAGATTATGAAAATAATAGCAAGTATGGTGGATCTTCTTGTGAGCATGAAGACAACCAGTATGCAGTAACAACATTCATTGCAGTGTAAAGGAATGACCTTAAAGGTTGTTTGGTTAGACCACCTTGGAGTTACTTCTAACTCCACCCCTGTTGCATATGTTTCCACTGCTGAGGCATTATAATGGGTGCCTGATTGTCTGCTTGTGGGACTTATGATTTGGTTCAAAGGATGCCACTCATGTGAGGGGTAGATCTTTAGGAATGGTTGTGCTCGGTTAAGGTTCCTGAGCAACCCTGCTAAGGCTCAGCACACCTGAAAAGTCTCAACAAAACCACCTTTAACATAATGGTATTAAAAAAATAGGTATACCATCTGCATATGTTACTACAGTTCCTCCAGATGCTGATGATGATAGCTGCGATCTGTAACTACTGTTTCTCTTGTGTATCAAGGGTAAAAGTGAGTCTCTTTGTGTGGATGCTGTTAGGAGCCCATTCCGAAATTTAACTGATAAGGGAGGTGTACCATCAATCTGTTCTTCTGGTGAGTCAGGTTCGTGGAGGATTATTGGCAATCCTTGATTTTTTGGTTCTTTTTGTCTCCATTTAAAGAAAAAGACAACCACAGCCAATAGAATAACACCTACAAATGCTCCTATGCAACCCACAATGACTTTTATACGCTGGGTTGCCATGCTTTGACTTGTAGACTGTGTTGTAAGAGTCCTGGAATCAACAGTTTTTGGTGTGCTAGTAGTATGAACTGCTGGAAACAGTGAAATAAAAAATGGTGTTTACTTTATGTTAACAATAAATGATTTTTGTCGTAATAATTTATAAGAATTAAATATGATAAACATCCTTAAAATTTCATTCTCTCATGCCCCTATCAGCAAACACTTTGGCATTCTCATTCTCTGTAAGGATCAACCTCCATTGCTTTTATTAGCAAGATTGAAGGTTTAGGGTTATATAACCATTTGCAATCAGAAAAGAACAAAATCCTTGTATTTAACAAAATGTGTACTACATACCATTATAATACCAAAAACAACTCAACCAACCTGGATCCAAAGTTGTGTTAAGACTAAGCAAGGCACTTTGGTAAACTCTTCCATAAGAGTTGCATACAACACAGGAATACAATCCCACATCAGTTTCTGTGACATTGTGAATAGTTAGGTATGAAACATGTAAGTTTTCCTTGTCGTCAGGTTTGATACTGTATTTTGAGTTTGAAACAATGCTTGTGAAATTTCCAAAATCAACATCAAGTTTATCTGCAGATGGTGTGTTCTTCCATTTTATCCAGTCAATGTGGGGGACAGTTGCCAAACTGGCTGCATTGTTTGTTTGTAAGCATGTAAATTTTGCCAGACCATTGACTCTGACGCTGATGTTAAATAGCTCCTCTTGTGAAATGCTTGGTACTAAATGGCTAAATGTACCTATAAGAGAGTATAATTTGATTAGTTGTTAATGGTACTAAAATGAGATGTTCATAGAAGTGGCAGAAGAAAATTGATACCATTGTTGTGTTTTTAGCATTCAAAGACAAGTTCTACTTATCTCCCTTAATGGATTGCTTGTCCATCACAAGGAATGATCAAGACATAATTTCCTATAACATTTTCAGTATGATGTCAAGCAGAAAAGTGATGAGAATAAGGAAAAATATCAACAAGGGGATTATTAGTTGATCCAATATCAAATTCTCCAAAGTGACATCACAAGATTAGTTTGGCAGATAGTAAGGAAAATTATTAAAATGAGATCTTGAGAGTGAAAGGGTTAACCTCAAGCCTTTCTTCAGGTTTCCCTGACAGTATGCTGTTGTTACTAATTTAACTCCTGTGCCAAGAGTGACGTTGCAAGAGTTAAATGTCTTGTCAAAGGACATATGACATTAAATCCTGCCAGGGCTCAAATCTGAATTTTTTTATCCAGAGTCTAGCACACAACTCGTTTTGCTTTTCTGTCTCCAACTGCACTGAGAGAAAATTTCGCTGAAAGTTAAATCTTGTGTTTTTTTTGTTCACCTTACTTCCTTGAATAAGCATCCACACTCTAATAAGTGGCCTTCCTGAACTGATAAGCCTCCATGCTTTAGCCCATAATGTCACACCCCTCCTTCCTCACTTTCTTAAAGAGTAAGGATACAGGGAAAACCTGTTTCTTTTGCCACCCTATTTATAACTTTTAAAGCTCCAAAATCAGTGAAATCAATAGAAGAGAATAATAAGCACCCCATTTGATTAAGTACCCTCCTTCCAAAAATAGTGTCCCTCATTTAAGCCAAAATTTTTTATTACAGTTTATCTTTTTATTTTAATTTAACAATTGGTTCACAGCTGTGGAGAGTTTTGTTTACTTTAGATTGAATGTTGGATATTGTTGGTGAATGTCATTGTTTGTGTTAAATACCATTTTGCAAGCAATATTCTTCGTTTGTTTTGAGGGGCATGCCGAGTCATTCTCCCCTACTGTGGTTAGAATGAATGGATGAATGAGTTAATTAATGAACCTTAATCACTTCAAAACGGAAGCATTTTTTTTAAGTCGCTTCATTATTTTTGTGTTTTTTTTTCCTATTTCAAGTGATATTTATCAAGAGTCTGTTGTGATGTTGGAAGTGTGGAGGTTGATAACTGTTATCAGTTTATTTTATGACAACACTCAAAAACCTCAAAGCAGTTTTACAAAGTCTGTGGAATCATTGAGACATAAATTATTGAGCAACAAAGCTCAACAAATAAACCGAAAGAAGTGAAAAAGAAGCTATTTTGAGTTGGAAGAATCCAAAAGACATTCAATCTCCCCTTCCCTATGTTTCTAATGCAGTCCAGATTTTCCTTGATGATAACTGGTTTTAATGTACTGGTAGCTCTGATGATCAGAGAAGGTGAAAAAACAAGACAAACGCCTTTTATGTGTCCCACAAAAAGCCACATTAATTTACAACAGAAATATAAAGTCTCTTTTTTTTATGCCCTCAGGTGATTATTCAAAGGAAGTAGACAAAACGGGAATGAAATTAGGCAAACAGGACATTTGAGGTAATTTCTTGTCGCCTATAATATTTCAGTTCGACATTTGCGATTGTCTGTCTTAAAATAAATAACATCGCCGGCTGATTTTTACCATTGAAGTCTTTTACATATTAAACAAACCACCACTGAGCTTCCCAGCGAGATTACAGGTACTCTTTGTTAATGTATGTATAAAGGAAAATGAAATGATGACGCCGATTGACGACATTAAGTCACTGCCTTTAAGAGAAAGCCTCGATTTAGCGGGGCCAACGTTTTGATTATATGGCATTTACGAGGAAAAGCACTTAAGTCTTATTTTTCTAGCTCCATCAAGAAAAAGGTTTAATTTAATTTTTACGAAGACGCCGCTGATACGCTCCTATGCAAATTTAATCCAACCTCATCAAAACCGTGTTTGCTTTAATCTGAACGATGTGAAGGAGATGTCTCAAAAGACGAATTCGGCGCCGCGAGTTTGACATTAAACAAACTCGCCACGATGTAGAATTAATGTTCTATTCAAATCATGTCGTGAGAAGTACATTTTGTCTGGATAACACTGTCATTTTCATTAATTAGACTGAGCAACTATATTTGCCTACAATCCTCAAAGACGATCTATATAACACAGCTGCGCGGCAAGTTTCGTGTAACAATTGTAATTACACTAGGCCTAGACACTTCTCTTTTTCCTGTTTTAATCTCATGCACTTCAGTTGAAAACGCGCTCTCATGCAAACGAATGATATGGAGTTGGGACTGTTCTATCAGATCTCGGAGCGCACGGTCCGGAAGCTGTTCCAATCGTTTTTGATGTATACGTAACGATTTTAACCCAGCTGCACTTAGAGTTCTCGGGGCGGCTAATTATGCTGGATTGTACATTTCCCTCTTAGCAGTATTATTAACATGATCAAACACTTGCAGCTTACAGTTTTGGAACTGAACGTCCCTGACGCACAGCCTGTGCAATTCGTGGCAGGTTTTCCCATGATCAGGTTGTGCGGTTGCTACCGAGAAACAAATGAAAAGAATTGCTGTGTCACAATTATCAGTTTAGTGTGAACGAAATTACGGCTAAATTACAGCAGTCCTTTCACTTTACGCACGAAAGGTGTGATCAAAAGAAACGTGCAAATCTAGGGAGTATTCCAAAGAAATAAATGGGCTTACATAAACCATGGAGAAATGTAAACAATAATAAAAAGTTCTTGACTAATACCGCTTTTAAAAGGCCAAAATTCACCTTTGAATTGGCATCCGACGAACAAAGTGATCCAAAGCCAGACTAGAAGTGCGTTAGATTTTAAGGCCATTCTAGGTTTCATTTCCCAGTCTCTCGTCTCTCACTATCTTGCCATTCTTTCTTCGTTCTAAAAGAAGTCTTGTGACGAATCTGGCACATGTAAACGAGAAGAACGGCTGAGGTTTGCGCTAAATCTGTCGTCTCCCGTCTACGATCGTGCGGCGATCTAGTTTCAGTCGACTGTTACCCCCGCGTCACGTAAGCACGTGTCAATATTAGTTGAAATTTATAATACAAAAATTCTCATGTTTGGATCTCTGTCTAGATAAACAAAAAAATAAGAACGTTTAGAACCAAAATCAGTTGAGAATTCGGCGCAGATTCTAAGAGTTCGCTTGCACCACAGTTATTGCTAACACCTGATAAAATGTAATTTTCGAGAATTGCATTGTTCTGAGGTTACTGCACGTCCTTCATTGGGCATTTGGTAGCTCAAGGCAAAAAGCGTAAATGACGTTAATCTCTTCTGAAAGGAACCGCTTGAGAGGAAATTATTTTACGACGCACCAAGAGGATTTTGCGGTCTTTAATGAACTATTTTGTTTTCTCAGCTTTCGGAGCACAGGCGCTTGAGTTCTCACGGCTGGAAAACGCAGAAACGCAAACGAGATGAAATTTGAAATAAATTGTTGATAGCAACGCAGCGTGCTGCGTGAACCTCACGGGCAAATATTATTAATGGCCAATTAGTGAACCTTGACAAAGTTTCCTTTTCACTTTTTCTTATGAGCAAAGCAAAATCATGGTTTAAGTTATTGGGGATTCAAGCACGCCAAAGAAGGCAATGTGCAGAACGACATTTCAGTTCCAGGGAGAGGGAGCAGGTGACACGCACGCCATTTTGTTAATAGGCGATTACCATGGCAAGGCGTGCGTAAATGGAACTCGTGAATGCCAAGATTGATTGAAGTGGTTTTAGAAGTGCTTTTTAGATTTGTTTTGTTCGTTACTGCGCGTATAAATTGACTTTCACTATTCTAAAATACCAGATTGTGTGTGTGTATGTCTCAGAAATGCGTTCAGAGGTGTTCACGGTGAAGGAGTTCTTAATTTCCCAAGTTGACAGTCGGTGAACGCGCGAAAGTCGGTTGTTTTAGAATTTTTGAAGAGGTTATTTGCAATTTGCGCTAATATTCCAAATGTTTTATTTTTCTCTTTCAATTAGTTAATGTTTTGGGTGTTGCGTCTGCTGGCTCAACTTCCAGCAGGGATTGAAGATGATTTAAACTGGGAAACCTAGACCATTAGACAGACCATCATGTAGATTTTGAAGTTAATACTTGGTTGTCTTGGGTGTAACGAGAGATAAGAAAAAATTCTTTTGTTTTTAGGACTTACTGATTATCGATGATTTTTTTTAAAATGTTTTTTCCTTTCCATTGCAAAGTGTGTGTGTTTAGTCTTTCTTTTGTAAATGGGGCTTCATACTGTGTAAATAAAACTAAGAAAATACCCTTTTAAAGGGTTATTATCGTTTTGTGTAGTGGGTGTTCTCCAAGCCATAAAAAGCTTTAGATTCTGTGATGGAAAAAACTTTAAAATAAAAAAATGAAACCTGTGCTTCTGAGATTAGTTACTGATTTCTTGGAACTAATCAGGGTCGATAAAATACGGTCAGTAAATTTACATGCATACTTGATACGTGACGGTCTCCTTAGTTTCATACTTTTTTTTTTGTTTGTTTGGTTTTTGTTTTTATTGAGATTTTAATTATTCTGGTACATTTACAATTACCTCAAGACTGCAGGTAATACAATACACCGCTTCAGGATTTCTGAATACATACGCTTGATAAAGGGCACAGTTTTAGTCAGTCGCCATAAAAGATTTCCAGTGCTTCAATTTTTTCCAGGTTTACACGAATGCATAATAATCCCTAAAGTTTAGATCCGTCTATGTAGCTTGCAGATAACAAGGGTTGAGTCCAAACTTGGTCAGATGTTTTTTTCGAACGCTCTAAAAGAGTTGCCAGTGATGGAGCTGAAATGAAGGTGATAAATTGAAAACAGAATAAATTCTTATTACTCAATATTGACTGAAAGCGTTAATCTGTGACCCCAACAGCCTGAAAGCTTGACGGTAAAATGCAATTACATAATTGGATCGCTGAGTAACACCTCCCCAAGGCACGGGATATTGTGAGGTCACTGTGACAAAAGTTTCCTTTGGCAAAAATATGATATCCTATATCAAATTTTATCCTGTAAGAAAAATCGTAATTTTGGGGGTGGCAAAAGATTGTCAAGCAGGTGTATTGCTAATGGAAAAAAATCTCAAGATACTCCGTAAAAAGATTCGATTCAATAGCTCATGCACTTGTTGTCACTCTGCTAAACAAGTCTACTGAATTTCAACCTTCAGTTCCTAAAGGGAATTTTGAAATCGGCCACGAGTGCTTCCTTCATTTGACGCGTTGGAATTTCTATTGGACTACTTGTTTTCTCTAGTCGCTTCTTTGCTTTGGCATTTAGAGACTCCACATAAACAGGACAAATAAACGTTACAAAATGGCTTATTTTTCACTATTTCATTAGCGGATGGCTTGTCTTTCCGACAGACAACTGGGAGAAAGCGTGACATTTGTCATAAACCCCTTGAAAACAAAATCTCCTATGCGAAAAAAAAATTGTGAAATTGGAGTGGTACGATTGGAGTGAATTAACATTGTACTTATGGTTGGCGAATTTCCATGATACGGCATGATGGCCTGCTCATTCGCCAACCAATACGGAGCAAGTGTTAGTCGGTGATTTGTCTTAATTAAATACTTCGGTTTTGGTTGCCTCTGGCAAAATTATGAGTTGTTTACCAATGAACTGTCTTCAGTAAGCTGAAAAAAGAGCTGTGAGAAGAATAGTTGGTCACATTTTTAGGGATTAATAATATTCCTCTTGTTTATTAAAAATAAAATACCGGGTTGATTTGAGGGAGACACTTGCCCGTGCTATTTTTATAAATTTTAGTCTACCTCAAGGCGAGGAAGCTTTTTTCACACGCGTAGAGTTTCTTCCACGAAAGCGGAGGATCAATGTTGTTGACACCTTTGAATTATGTTGAATTGCTTTCCGAGCTCATTGTGCGGGTTATTCCCATTAGAGACGGTTCTCGGTTTTCTTTTAAAATCTAAATATAACTCCTTCATCGTTGTTCATCCACTCAGAAATTAACACCACAATAGATTTGCCAGCTCGGATAAGTTATTTCAATTTGACGTAAACACTTGAGGCAGGTCAAAGGCCACGGTTTACGTGCAGCTTGGTGAGGCTTGTAACACGAAAGGGAACAAACTATGCCAATAGTTTACGTTCAGATCACTTTGAATGAATTAGGCATATCTTTGAGCATGCAAAGTTTTAAAAGGAAAAGAAATCTGCGAAACATCTAGTAGAGTTACTAATTTCATGCCAAGAAACCTCGCCTTGCCTGGTTCGCTCACGCATTCCTATGACCAAAACGTGTTTGTGACCGTGTTGACGGATTTGGGCAGTAGCTAACCAATCATCTTTGCTCACCATCTGATTCAGGGTCCCAAGGTGGCCACGATGAACCAACAGGTGTAACACGTTATGTTCATCATGTTTATTAGTCACTTCAAAATTATTATTCTACTCTATTCTAGACTTCTACTGAACAATTCAAACTAAAATTGGTGTGCTTCGATTTCCTGAAAATTTTTTTTATTATTGTTATTTTTTATTTATTTATTTTTATTTTACAACATGATACTTGCATTAACTACATTTAGGTTCCTTTCACGGGACTCTCTATATACATTGCGTTACACTACTTACTTACAGTATTCTTAAGATACAATAAATATTTATGCTACTTACACTGTTCTACTTACACTACGTACAATGTGATAATGCACACCTATTTAGACTCACTAACAGGCACATCATTTACTCACAAAAAAAAGAGAAACTTATTCACAAAAAATTAATAGCTACGAAAGACAAAAAGGCTAAATTGTGAGTGGGATAGATAGGAGTAAGAACTTGAAAAAAAAAACAACAACAAAAACAAAAGTACAGCGTTTAGCAAAAATTGATTTTCAGAGGCTTAAGATCAGCATGAGGAGAGCCTGTACGCAAACTATATAGCAATTATAGTGTAGGAAGTATTTCGTCCCACGTCTGTTGAAATTTATTATGTGAATCAGTCACGATAGATGAAATTAGAAGATCCTCGCAGCTAAGAACACTACTGTTGATATTTATTATGTGAATCAGTCTACGATAAGCCATAGCTGGTCAATGAATTGGGTACAAATAAACATCCAAGTGAATGAAGAATTTAGATATATGAAAATTCACATATTTGCACTTGTTTTTACAAACTAGTAGTTGTAATTTTCAGGTTCTATTTACAACTACTAGTTTCAGTAGTGTTCTTAGGGAGGATAATTTCATCTGCTGAATTGTGACATATATCTAAATTCTTCAGTCACGATAGATATTTGTTTTTCAACCCATTTTAACCTTATAAGGGGGTTACTCTGCTGAATTGTACGTCAGTTTCTGTAAGATTACAGAAACTGGCCAAAGAGACTTGAACACTCACGCCTCAATAACTCTGATCTTGCGCTTGAAGGGTATTAAAAGAATCAAGCATTATTAAGCACTACCCTCGACCCGCATGTGACATTTAAGATAATTGTTTGTTTGTTTGTTTGTTTTGGGGGGGTGGGGGTAGTTTGATATGAAAATGCTTTTCGGCTGGAAATATTTTATGATTAAATTACCTGATTGATTTAATAAAAAGACACTTGCCCATCCTAGTTTACCCCTAGGAGGTGAATGCTTGTCTGAGACCGTCGCAAAAAACAAGGGTATTGTTCAAGGTTATTTCTTTTAGCTCAGATGCAATTACGAATTAACTGCTGCCTAGGAGACTGGGAGGCCGGGAAATGGGCGGCCTTTCTGATCAGCGGAACTAAGAAAATCACAAATAATCCACGTTTTAATCAATTCTTGAATTATTTCTTAGAAGTTATTTGGTAATACGTACTCACTTGGAAATGCAAAATTTGTGTCTTCTCACCTAATCCGAAACTAACAATGATAACAAATGACAGTTGAGGCCGTCAATTGCAAAGACCACCTATCTTTTGCGCGTCCACTCTTTTGCTCATTCCAATATCCGGCACCCTCGCACAGGTTACGTGGCCGGCTCAGAGCCGTTGCTATGGTACTGATTTTCATGATGGTGTATGAATGGAAGTGCATCAATATCTTGATCTTTTGTCGCGACAGGATCTTGCCAACCATCACCATCATATAGCAGGCGAGTGATGAGTGCCACATACAGCGGGATCGTTTTGGTAACGCTAGTAAGAAGAGTGACTCTTCCGCACTTCCTTCTTAAAGCGCTTGAATGAGCTTCTGTAACTGCCCTCAAAGATATTTGGTGATGTGATCTAAACCACATTTCAATCCCCGTTACTGATAATTGCATAATTACAATACCCCGCAGCAACCTCGGACAGATTTGTTAAATATCGAGACTACCTCTCACCCTCTCGTGACTTAAGTTTCTACTGGACTCGTGCAAATTGGAAGATTTTCTACGCTAATTGAGGCGAATTCATTGCGATTGTATATGTAATCGCATGGGCCCAAGGGCAGTTATGACTTAATTTCAGTGCGTATATTCAAAGTTGTTCCAAAATTGCCCAAGTCGCAAAACCAACTGAAGATGTGGTTTTCAGTGCTAGAGAATTGAAGGGAAGGGAACTTTTCACTATTTCAATCCCAGTACTTGACTCTTCAGTTTTATTGATACCGTCAATGAAGAAAGAGAAAAGAAATAGATTAAAATGAAACAAAGGGAATAGAAAAAAATACATAGAAAATTGGATTATTTCTTTAATAAAAGTAATCATTCATAGAATGTAGATACATCTGTATGTTGAAACATCCCCATTCATCTGAGAATGCTTCTGTTACTTTTATACACAACTATTACTTGGTCTTGTTTTTGAAAAGAAGAAAACAAGATTTGTTCTGCTCATCTTTCTGGCGGAACTAACTGATAGACGAATACGAATATGCTCGATTAAATTGAGTGATTTTTGTTTTGATACTAACAAATTTTAAAATTATTTTTCACGAGTTGATGGTTTATCAAGAGAATATTATCTGTAGAATTCCTCTTGAGTTTAAGAACTGCATAGAAGATTTTTCTCACTCGCTAAAGTCGGCACAGTTTTATCATTTCTGAAAATCTGTAAGCCAATCTCTTTCTCTTACTCTTAACCCTTTAATCCTTAAGAGTGACCAGCATTTAATTTCTCCTTACAATAATACTGCTAAACCATTCATTAAGATTATGAGCATAAAGGAAATGATCGCCAACCTAAGAAGCTTTGATCTTTAAATAAATTCTCCTTGTCAGTACCATAAGAAACTTATGGAGAAGAGTATGGAGAATATGGATACTGATGTCGAGGTGTAAAGGGCTAAGGCTGGACTCTCGCTTCTATCAATAGCGTAACTTTCTTTGAGGTAACGCACAGAGGAAGTAACTGACAATGTTCATTCGTTAGAAAAACTTCTACTTTGTTGTCTACTGAAGGTGGCTGAATATAGGATATTTCCTGAGAAAAATTTTTTGACCACTCATTGGAGTCCAGGGCACGAAGTTTGCTCAGTAGGCAAGTTTCTTTTCACCCACCAAAGAACGGGGGTTTCGAGTTGAATGAACAATTTCACCTCCAAATCGTTTCAAGAACCACAAAATTGTGCCATTCTCTATGAAACGCAGGACTGTTCCTGAGGGTAACTTGGATGTCGAAACGTTGTTTTTCCCCAGAACATGTTACCTGTACAAACAGGATGTTAATTTAATTATTTGATGTGGTTTTATGTCTCAAGCGCGTTTTTCAACGGAGATAAAGTAACCTTGCAGCACTTTAGTGGATTATAAGATGATAAATTCCGGGCCTTAAAAATTATTTTTCTAGCCAGCATTTTCTCCACGCTAACCGGGTGTTTTCGCGTTCTTATCCACGGCTTGCTTGAAACAACTTCGTGATAGCCCGTATTGTGATATTATGGTTTCTGGGTCCTGATTTTGTCTCTTTGTCCGCTTCCTTTTTCCTTTTACCGCCATAACCAACTTTAATATTTGTATTATACCCTTCTGGTTAATCCTCTGGCGTGGAAATTTAGTTGCAACTGCCATTAAAGAGCGAGATGTAATAACAATCTAGTATATGAAAGGGTCGTTTACTGCTAGCATGTAGACTCTGGCATTATTCCAGTATTTTCATCAGAATCGTCCGTTATAGGTGTTTCCATGTCGTGAGCCAGATCGTCAATGGACTGAGCCAGTATTTGCAAATACTCCTGCAAAATTACAGAACCGTAGCGACAGTCAGCATGATACCAACGGTTCAGTAACGATAACATAAAGAAACCTTTAATTAAATGTTTTCATGATGGAGCTGCTTAATTGTAATCAACTTCAAGTTGTAAGGAAGGAACAAAGTTACATATACCTTTCCAGAGCATTGAATAATAAATTTTTTATTGCAGTGTAGATAGCCAAGTGACTTCTAGGTCGTATGTTGCCAGATAATAATCATTTGATAAACATTTATTACTTTAAGATCCCAGGACATTATGAACTTATATTTGTTTAGACAGCTTCTTAGATGTACGCACGTGACCGTGATATGCCCTCGTGTTGTAATTCCCCGCCTAGATTACATAGGTAACGGTCTTGAGTTACAGAGGGTCAATTTTAGTTTTAGGTGCATTCTTCCAAAGAGAATCACGTCCTTCAGGGGGCGTCTTGAATAAAAAATTGACAGGTTTGAAGATCGTTGTTGCATTCCCCCTCTCCACCCCCCTCAAAAAAAATGCTCAGTAAAAGTACCTTTAGCCAAGCAACCACCCAATCACTTCGAAAGTGAGTAACCTGATACTTACTTTGCTCGTCATGCTTGATAACATCGCATCAAAGTGTTTTCTTAGATCTGTAAACGATTTTCGTTGGCAGGGGGTTTCATCCCAGCAATTCATCATAATATCATATCTGGAAAATCGATGTAAAATAAGAAAAAATTTATCATTTCAAGGTTATATTCCTCTAATGCACTCCGTAGTCGCTGTCTTAACCTACAGTTTAACATGTAATGCCCCATTCACACCAAAGCTTAAACATGTTTAAAAGTTGTTTTGTTAAACACAGTTTAATTTTTTTTTTCTTCATAGAAACTATTTAACCGAATATTTTTGACTTGGAAATACAAGTTAGCTAGTACTTGAATCCAATGGAAAATCAAGTTTTTCAGTTCTCTGTTTATAATTTTCATTCAATGAAAACCAGTTTAACAAAACATGTTTTGCTGGTGTGAATGGGGTATAAGTTTGTGCTTCCTGTTAAAGGTTGCATTTCTATGATTTAACCTTACCAACGGTTGAACTTTTGCAAGATGTTCAACAGAAATTGGGGGTTGAAACTCCATTTTCATGAAGTGAAACATACCAAACCACCAACATGGTGAGGGGGAAAACTGCTGAATGGAAATGCTTGAAAAAATTCATAGATAAACGTCCATGATAGTATTGTCGTGATTCGAATCGCGAAGCCCTCGAATTTTTCAAGGCTCCCTAACTGAAATTGCCCAAACAAAAAAATTCAGTTCCAAAGATCACATGCTACTCTTCTTCCTCTTAATCTTTTAAGTAGATCGCTCGAGGAAAGTTGATAAGTATGGGATTTTCCTCTAATATTAGCCTTGAAATTGACTGAGCAGGAAACAAGTGTGCCTAAAGCGACATTGTCACATGAGTCCCCTTTCCGGTTTAATGCATGCCAATTCAATTACGTTGTCAACAATGATCAAGAGAACAGGAAACACTTAACTGTTTTTTCTTACAACTTCCCGAGTGGATTACAAGCGGCAGCTGTGAACACCACCAACAAACATGATCTTGGGTCATAGAGGACTTCCTGTGTCGTAGTCGTTACAACCTTCCCGATTCCTGTCTTTCAGAAGGACTGGAGATTGACCAAGAGATTGAGAGAGGGTGAACCCTTCCTCCGGATTGAGATCGAACGCAATATTTTGGTTTATTCTGCGAATATTTACGTTTTTCTTCGAATAACAATTTAACTGTAATTGAACTTACATATCTCCTGGACAATTTTGAGGCTGCTGCATCCGGTAGCCAGACTTCAATAGATCGAACAACTTTTCTATGGGTATTCCTGGATATGGAGAACCCCCTGAAAAGAGAAATATCCGGCTTAAGTTGTTGTCTTGTCTTAGACCATTTACCCACGTCTAGAAATTCAAAGGTGATATTGAAGTGTGCACTTTTTTAGTTAAGTGGTAAAACGATATACTTCTTTGCATAGAAATTAAAATTGGAAGTACACACGGTATCAACCATTTCTCGTTCATATCCTCACTCAAGATGTTAACTTAAAGATGGCCTTACCGAGGGTAAAAATCTCCCAGAGCAATATACCAAACGCCCAGACGTCACTTTGTGTTGTGTAAACTCGATCAAACAATGCCTCGATGGCGAGCCATTTTATTGGTAGCCGACCCTGCAAACAAAAGACATGTTCAGATACCAGAGTTATTACATGATTCGTTAAACAAATTCACAAAATCGCAGTTTGTAAAGATAACTGTGAACACTTACATCGGTAGTTTTCCGATAATACTCCGCATCTCTCACATTTCTTGCCAGACCAAAGTCAGCAACTTTCATGATGTAATCTTCTCCAACAAGAATGTTTCTGGCAGCAAGGTCTCGATGAACACACTACATTTATAGAGAATTCAAAATGTAATTAAAAACTTTTTTCGAAACTTTAAAAAAAAACTTTGACGTTAAGAAAAAGTAAAGGGGAAAACTGCTACTCCGCCTGCGCTTACTAGTACTGTCATATAACCAAACCCAAACTGATCGCAACTGCCCATCAGAAAAATGAATTAAATCACAAGAAATTATCAGAACTTGAAGTTAATCAATGTTATGGGTCTTTAACGCGAAAAGGCTGGTTGTTTACACTTGATAGTGCGAGCTTTCAAGACCTATCGCAGAGCATAAGGAAGCAAAAACAATCCCATCCCGTATTACTTTTAACACTCAATTGAAATTGAACATTACATTTTAGCCTTTCCATTTGACAGTTGATCACCTCACACAGTCTCCTTAGTCTATCCTGCGAGCACCCGGCATTATTAGCGCGTTTCTCCGCCTGCGGGAAGATTTGAGTCGAGTCGAGTCGAGGAAAGTTTTGCCTCGGGTCTGGCGTTAGTCGCAGACCCCTTGCAAGCCTCTCACCAGCTCGCGTTCCTTTCCCGCGGGCGATGAAACGCTCGTGTGAACCCTTTCACTTCCACAAGTGATTAGGAAAGAATTTCTCCCTACATAACCAATACCATATCAAGCGGAAGTGTGATGAGAATAATGGAAAATACTTCAGGGGATTATTAGTTGATCCAATATCAAACTCTCCAAAAGAACAACATCACAACTATATGCAGACAGTAAGGAGAATTTGTAATGAAATCTTGGGAGTGAAAGAGTTAGAGCGCCAGTGATTAGGGCGACAAGCAGGCTATCTTTGGTCAGAAGGAGGTGTCTAGTAATAGATATTTAAAGATGTAAGGGCTAAATCTGGCCTTTAAGAAATGTCCAGGCAATGGAAGGTGCCCGTTACCGAAGGATCGGTTCTGCCAGTTTTCTCCGTTAAAACCCAGAATTGTTATTTTTTTCCTATGAAGTATCACTTAACGAGTTTTAAGAATTACAAACTCGAAAAAGTCAACTACTATTATGAGCCAAGGTATAATTTGGTGTTAGAAATACAATGTAAGGAGTAGTTAACTTTTGGATGGTTTAAGTATTCTATGGATAAACGAATATGAAAGCGATCTTCTCAGGAATGAACACTACTTAAGCAGTAGTGAAAATAACTCCTGAAAAAAATTCAGGCCTGCACGGGATCTGACGCCATGACCTCTACAGTACCGGTGGAGTGCTCTGCCAACTGAGCTGTTAACATATATGATTTTCATATATTTACAGTCATTTATATGGATACAATTTGTTTCCGGATTTATTTATTATACCTTTCTTGTTCCCAAGTACTCCATTCCCCTCGCTATTTGGAAAGCATATGAGACGAAATCCCTCATAGTTAAGGAAGGACCAGAGTGACTAAGTGTGTGTTGTTGATACTCAGATGGTCTTCTTTCTCTCAGAAACTGTCGAAGATTCCCGTGTGGTGCAAACTCGACAACGACAAACAGAGGGCCTGAAACACATGTAAGTAAAGGTCTTAACCATTCTTTTAAAGACATAACATATGCAGTTGATGAATACCTGCTAGGGCTCGGTGTAGTGTTGCTGCGATGCGAATGCATGTTGATTCTGATACGAGATTCAGGGCGGTTATTGATTTTCATATAAGCATAATGAAGGGAAATTTTGTAATTTTTCTCTTTTTACTTGATGGACAATTGCCAAGGATTCTGTGTACTTTTCAAAACTCATTGAGGTTGTTTAACTTTTGCAACGAATGAGAGGTTTAATTTTTGGAAAAATAGGAATGCCTTACCGTTTTGCGTGCAAGCACCTATCAGGTTGATAATGTTCTTGTGTCTTCCAATTTCCTTCATTGTATCCATTTCAGACAAAAGGTCTGCTAATTCGTTCTCAGTGGCGTCAGCTGTAAATTACAACATTTAGAGGCAAAAATATTATCGCTTTAGCTTTGGAAGTAACAAAAAGCTTGACGTTATTTGTTGCTAAATTGAGTGTTCCACTTACACGAAGAGCATGTTCATACGTTCTCATCTTATCTGCTTAGCACTTTGTTTAGTGTAAGTGCTGCATATTGATCTCAAGGAGAACTTAGTAGTTGATGAGAGTTTTTTTAATTCGCACCAACTTTTTGATGGAACATTCATCCATGTTGAAGGAAAGTTACATATCTGTACGCAAGTCGAAGTCAAGCATCATTTTCAAGAAGTGGACATTGATAGGCCAATTTTATGATTTCGGAGCTCAAGTTCTATTAGAGAGTATTGTTCATTCAACGTTTCCAGTAAAAAGGATTAATAAGCACTGACTTACCCTTGAGCATTTTGACTGCAACTGAGCATGTGGAAGGCAGGTCAGGTAAACCCACGGCATCAGCGCGCATGACCAAACCAAAAGCACCTTCACCAAGCTGTTCTCTTAACGTTATTTGAGATCTGTCGATTTCCCATTCTTCGTCGCAAGGCAACTCATAGAGCTCTGTAATGAAAGAGAGTTTAAATGATGGTATTTCAATGAAATGGTTGTATTGAGGAATTGATATATAGTACCACCCATTAGTCTTTACTTTGAACACAATTCGTCATTAGACATTAATCTCGTTACACTTATAAGTTATGTAAGGAATCTCCTTCTTAAGATATTAAAAGAAAGCCAGATGCTAACAGTTACAACATTTACATTTTCAATAACATGTACGGGTAATTTTGAGTACAGAGACTATTCAAAACCAAACGAAAAAAAAAATTATTTCAAATTCTTTCTGTAAAACTTTTTATGAAATAGTCATGCAACACGAGAATTCTTTAACCCAACCCCTACCCCCTAAGTTTCCTCATGGTTCATCCCTCAATACATCGGATAAACGTTCCTTACCTTCAGCGATGTTAGAATCAATTCTAGACGAAACGCCTGAAGAAAATCGAGACCTATAGCTTCCATTCCTGCATCTTATTAAAGGTGCTGTAGAAGTGGTTGATCCATTGGAACTAAATCTCCTCCTTGGAGCTGCATAATTTAACGTTCTAGTTATTCCATCGGTTTGATTGGGTGTGTTAGGTTCTGACGATAAAAGGTGTAACGACGCTCTTCTTGCCTCTATATTTTGTAGAGTTATTTCCTTTTGAGAATTTGAACCTTTAGGGAATTTCTCCTTTAGTCTCTTGCGATAACAGAAAACAAACACGACGATTACTATAATAGCTATTAAAAAGAAAACTGACAGAAGGATGACGATAATTAGGCCAGTTTGAGGTGGTTTTTCTTTTTTCGTGAGAAATGCTGTGATCTTCTCAGGTGAAGATGGTTGTTCTGTTGGTTTTGTGGCTTCCGTCTCTACGAAAGAAAAATCAAAACAATCTTCAGAATTTATTAAGCACGACCATAGTTATACTTACAAATAAAAAAAGTCAAGATTGCAGTAGTCTATCAGTTGTTGTGTTTCTTTGGGTAGTTGACTGTGTTACTTCTCGTGGCTATAACAATAACGTGTTTTCTAGATCACCAGGCTTATAGAAAGTTGAATTTCAATCACAGACGTGTGCACTATTGCAATCGATAGTATGTTACTAATAGAACACTTTCCGAATTAATTGCAGTACTTATGGAAATTATTAGTCAGAGATGATAATCTGGTAAGCTAAGGTGGCGGCCACGGACGAGGATAGACCTAGTCAGCACGTCATCGCTCACAGGGCACACATGTAGCTCATGGGTCGCACAGAGAGAGATTCCAACGGCCACATGGGATATGTTGCTGGGGTGGTTACTGGCTACCCGCCTAAGCGACAGTGGTAATGACGGCTGTTATTCTAAGGCACGTTGCAGTTCTTAACCATTTAACTCCTAAGAGTGGCTAAGAAGTGATCCTTCTAACCATGTCATTACATTGCCAAGCAAAAGGTGATTGGAAAAAGGGGATATTGTTTGATTTAAGACCACATGTTTAGAACTACAATTGAAAGAAATGTGTGGCAAAACGGTTTGGAGAATTTGTAGTGAACGAATTAAATCATAAAGTTTGATTAAATAAGACGTTTCTGAGAAATACCGTTTGGCGACTATTATGTAAAATGCTTTATTTAAAAGCATTTTATCTAGGTGCGCAGATACGAAAGGTTACGGCGGCATGTTTTAAACAGATACTGACCTGTCACAGGAACCGTGGGTTTCACATATTTGATGAGGAATGCACTACTGAAATCGTTGCCGATATGATTGCTCACAAAGCAAGTGTAGAGTCCAAAATCCTCCTCGGTCACATTTACAATATTCACCTCAACACCATAATTACTTTTTACTTGAATGGTCTTGTAATAGTATGGGTCTATAAGGCGATATGATCCATTTAAAATTACATTGTAAGTTTTCGGTATAGAATTGACGGACTTGTTCCATTTAAGCCATCTGAAATCCGGGAGAGTTCCACTAACAAGAACAATACAGGTAAATGTCACATTATCTCCAACTTGCACAGTTTTGTTCTTTGGAAGACCTGTCTGTAGGATCGGAGCTGACCGAGGTCTGGCTGTTGAGAAAAGGGAAGATAATTTTGAAGAGAAGATACTTGAAGCTATAAAAAGATTACTTCGTGATGTAAAAATTAGGAGCGAGAAAAAAATATATTCAAACGCTGAAAAATTTGCAAAATCTTGAAAATTAAGATTCCTTATGTGTCCCAAATTGTTAAAAAAAACTTGTGGATATTATAGTGGATGGCATACTATCTCTTTTGCCTCCCTTTATCGATAACATCATTGGTTATCGAGCGGTCTTAAGGCTTCCTTTCGGTACTTTTTCTCTCTCTGAACTGTAATTGTCACCATCCTGTACCGAAAATACAACAGTTTTTTCTCTAATAATGCCACCCTCTTGAAGTGTTTGGGATTAACACACTCTTTCAGGCTTAAAAATAATTTTCTCGGGGATTTTCTTTTTTGCGTCTATCCATTATAGTTTTGAGATTACGACTGTAGTCAACAGAGTGATAGTTACCCGTATTTGTTTTTCTTTTTTTAAGTGAAAACAAAACAAAAAACGAAGCGAAAAATATATTCCCGGATCGAGTGACTTACAATGTCATATAGGTTAACTTATAAATCAGAGACAATTTCATTTGCTAGACTTACCAACAACTTGAAGAGTAAAAGTGTGATTTATCGAACCATATTGATTGGATACTATGCAGGTGTATCTCCCAGAATCATCGGGTACAAGATCTCGCAGTTTCAGGTACCAAAGGGAAGAATTAACATTTGGGTCCATACGTCGTTTTTTTATGATCTTTCCGTCCTTCAACCATTTGTATTTGAGCGGTGGTGCACCAATTGCTTGACATTTTAGTTTAATGGAGTGTGATGCAGGCCATGCCCTGAACGATCTCTTCAGTAAGTTTGGATCACTAAATATTGGTGCTCCTGCTAAAGTGCAAAAACAGAAACAAAAACAAAATAATAAAGCTCGTACATACCGTTGAACCGAGTGGATGAATGATTAATAATGGTAATAAAAATGATAATAGAAATGAGTGGGGTCCTATTCGGTCTGTAATCATGCGAGTGATTAACGGAATTGGACGAACGATGAATGGGACTTCGCTTTTCTGATCACAAGGATGATTACAAACAATCGGACGGCACGGAATCAAAACTAAAAAAAAAACTGCAAAACAAACTAGCCATCGGTTCAACCGAAAGAACAATTAACTCGGCGAAGAGCGCAACAGCAACGCGCGTATATAACGCGTTATCTGCCCCACTACTCTGTTCACTTACAAGCATGACACGTACACTGTCCTATCAGTGCTCAAGTCGAGCTGGTGATAACCAATTACGTTCGAGAAGATTGCTATAGTTTTGATTAATGGTGTGAGTGAAAGGCCATTTTTTTTTTCGTATATTCATAATGTGGTTCTAAAATTCGGTTAGTTCGTTTTGGAATTTCCGCGTTGTTATCCGCTTCTCATCGCTCCTTCCTTGTTTATTTGTTCATATTCATTGTCTCTTTTTTACAAGAGGGTTATGCGTTTTGCCGAGTGCAATGACCTTCTTCTAATGAGCCATTATCCATGAGTTACCTAAAATAATTATACAAGATGACAGGTACTTACTTGATTCCGGAGTCGTGAGATTCGTCATTAAATCTGAAAAAAGAGAGATCGTTTCGAAAGACCCGGTACGTATCTCCAAAATTGTGGTCAGGGAGAAATAACGGTACTTATTCTTGTTAGGATACACTTTTTTTATAACAAGGCGTAATTTTGGGGCTGGGGCTGAACGTTCTAATTTTTTTGCGATTTGAGCGTGGTATAGTATTTCAATTTCTTGTAAAAAAAAAAAGGTTCTTAAAAAAAAAAGTGTATGCCGGCTTAGATACTTGTGCGTACTCGTGGGTGCATGATCTGGGCCTAGGGTGCAAAGTGTCGAAAAGTCGCCGAAAGCGTTTCTGCAGTCCAATTTTTGTTTTCATTTTTAAGTCAAACTTATAAATAGCCACCAAAGTATTAGGGTTGGTTCTGCAAATCAAGAAGGTGGAACCATTATGAACAAACTCATGATGAGGTGCTTCTCTGTAGATCTTATATGATTGCCTACCTCTAGCCTGATGCTTAGTTGTGGGTCTTTTAGTTGCTAGTGGTGAACCAGTAGTTGTCAGAATTTCATCATGACGCACGTTTAGCTGGAGCGTCAGGTTGACTTTACCGAGAGGATTTTCAGCAATACAGGTGTAGTTGCCTTGGTCATCAAGTCGGACTCCTTTGATCTTAATAGTTTTGTTCTTGTTTAGCTTTCTTATCCTCTCAGACTGGTGCAAAGGCTGGTCGTTTTTGATCCATGTGATATTCGGTGGTGGAAGCCCTGTCACAGCACATCTTAACCGTTTTATATCTCCTAATCTAGCGACATTCAGTGGTTTTAGAGTATCTTGAACACGTGGTGGATAATTGTCTGTAAAGATTTAATAATTAATATTTCAAGTCAGTTTTAATAATATTAATCGTTTGCTATTAGTTTTGGAGTGAAAAAGCGCAGTAAAACCCCATTCTTGTAGTAACAAATATTGCAACTATGCTTAGCTTTGCTGAGGGATAATGCCATTCCTAGGAGACAGATTTTACACCGGCAGTACAGTTGATATAATCGTGTTATCGAAGTAAGAATTATTGCATATTTCCCCTTAGGGCTTGACGCCCTTAAGTATTTGATCACTCATATACCACGCGGTATTTATAAATTTGATATTACGCGGCGTAGACAGTTCGGATCCTCAATGTGATACAAGGTCACACTGATCTCTGCGAGGATATCAAAATTACGAAATTTAGATTCTCCAAAAAACTATTTGCTGGTTTTATGGGTTAATGTTTCATTATGTGTTGTACCAAGAATGAAGCGAGTTTCACCGATTACATTTCACTTTTTAAAGATGTTATTTCGGTATTCTTAATTGCTAGTGCAATATAGTTTATTTCATTTCGAGGTGTGTTGAGCTTCCTTTGGAACCTCGCGCAAAGTTTAAATAAGGAAATAAATATTTACTCGTTTTAAGTTATCGATGGAGCATTAATTTATCGAAAACTCAAACCCTGTTTGTTATGTTCTCCAAAGCTTCAGTTACTCGTACGTTCCGCCGGAAATTCTCGTCATTGACTTTCATAAACAACACGGGATTATACTTTTGGTCTTGGCTTGTACTTTGTACCAAGTCATTTGTTTACGTTACCATATATTTGTCTAAGTCTAAATCTGCCCGCTTCGTAGTCGAGGTCGTCACGAAACCGCCGATAAAAAAAAGGATCAAACGCGCAGACAGACGCAAAACATGCTTTCTTGCCGACTTGCCACTCAGAAAGCATGTTATATGATAGGGAAAATCTTGACACATATAACAAAACCTAATTCAAGTTGTGATGAAAGATCAAAGCTTTCTCGCATTCGCAGCATTTGCTTTTTCAAAACGATTTCAGAAATGTTTTTCTGAGAAAAAATGATCAGTCTCTGTTATCTTTCTTTCACCTCATATCTCTGCTCACACAATAATTCGTCAAGTAAAAGTGTAAACATACATCCCCATATCATGGTTTCCTGTTCATTATTTAGTGACCGCAATTTCCACTACGTATCCCAGGGAACGAGCTGTTGGCTTAGCATCTATTTGACTGTCAATTTGCAGGAAAAAAGGGCAGCTAAAACTAGTAGAAAGTTAAAGAACAGTAAGAGAATTTCCTTACATAGGTTCTTACTGATTCTAGAACTAGTAGAAATGTTGCTTGCTTGCTTTGATCTTTTAATCCATTACAAGAGAACTGTTCTACGCGCAAAAAAATATGCCTGTGGCTCACTTTTGTCTAGATTGCGTACGATCGTCCGTTCAGTGAGAAATTAAGCAGCAACGTGCATCATGACCGTTTCACTGAGACTGGAGAAAAAAAAACTGGAAACTGAACTACCAGCTATTTTTAAAACCTATCAAGGGGTCAATCTCTCTAAAGTCATGGGTTTAGTATCTTGAGGTTCTCAGAAAGAAATTTTAGCAGTGCAACCTATCCTTTTTTCCATTTACAGTATAAAACCAAATGGTTTGTAGTGTAAACTCATTTCTCTATTACATTCCCTCTCGTTCAACCGTCAAATTGTTAATATTTAATGCGAGTAAGTTAGCTTGAACGTTTTGGTTCAGGATACAAAATTCTCCTCAACATTACTTTTTGTGCAGTTCTGTGTATAATCTTAGATCCTACGAGAGAAACTTCTTTCAGGTACTTTTTGAGTGGTTCTATATATTTCTCCAGGATCCAACAAAGAAATTTCTCTCCAAATCTAACTTTCTAGAGCCACTTTTGAGAGCGAGAGGGTAACATGTCGATTGATCGATAGCAAACCGCCGCATTTTCGATAAGGCCGCACCGCCTGGCGAGGATCTACCGAGAACTTTTAATAAGTTCCTAATTCCCGGGTAGAAGACAAACTAGTAGAAAGCCCGTTGACAAACGTTGGAGCCCAACACCCCGTGAGTTTTAGATGTTTTAATAACGCGTGGCTGCGTCCATTGCGATCGGTGGTATTAAATAAAATTGCCTACGAGCAATATACGAGCGTCTTTTCTCAAAAAGAACGGAAACAGGGTCAAAATCCTACAAACCTTTGTTCAAAGTTAGCATTTGTTGAATATTTTTATTAAAATATGATTAGTGTTAGTTCCTATATCACTTCCATTTGGGATATTGGCACCTTGTCGCCGAAGAAAACAAGGTGGCCATAAAACGATCACGAACACGGAATTGTTTTTCGACGGAAAACGATTGTCCCTCGAATATTGTTTATTGTGACTTAGGACCATAACCTTTCGCTTGAATCGCGAGTACAGTGCGAATATGCTCTTTACTCTTTGAATGACTGATAAAACGTGAAGGCGTTAAGAGCAGCTGGAGAGACCAGAAATATCACAAGGCAACAATGCCGAACACAATGCAAATGGTAAACAGCAGCTTGTGATGACCGAGTGTCTTATTTGCTATCTACTTTGCTATGCTTAAGCGTTGAACAAACATTCGCGAATGTTCGTGAAGCTATTCTGTAGCATTTCCTTTGACCCGTCTAGTAATAACGAGTTTTCCTTGCATGATTCTAATGAATAGAGCCATTGATCTTGACATATTACTTCAAATTGATTTTCGAAGCGTGACGAGATCTCACACACGACTTTTAATTTAGGCTGACAGAAAAAGCGGAAACCGTTTTCATTTTACAGTAACTCATACAAAGATCTGTCCGAGTCAACCGTTTTAACCAAACTTTAAACAAGGAAGGCCCTTTTTCCTTTACATGTAAATATTATAAAACAATGGAGTATTTAGATATCTACTTACCGGGTTGAGCAGTCTGCGAATTGATTATAAAGTTGACAAACAATATCCACCAACACCGCTTTTCCTGCATCCTCACATCGACCGAAGCCTTCCTTTACGAATTAACATACTGTTCACCGCAGAAATTCGTCAATCGGTCCAACGATTGCAGGATAACTACGGAGATAAGTGATTTTCTAGGTTAGATGATCTTTAGGTGCCCTCCACTTCTCAAGTTGCCTGGTTTATCTTGGGGCTGCGCAGACAATTCATTTGCTTGTTGTCAATCTGATGGCACAATACTGACGTAGTGCCAAATAGCGAATTATTTTCTATTTGATGTCACCGTGACAGATGCCTTGCTTTCATGAAGATGTATAGAGCGACAAAGAGGAAATTTTGTCCGGAGAAAGTCGATATTCCAATTCTCTTAGTGATTCAGCGTTAAGCACAGCCAAACAACGACACAAATTCCTTTGCAAGTGAATTTTGATTGGCTTAGTATTTCACTGGTCTCGGTATGTTGGCTTTGGTTGAATTTTGTGTGAAATTTCAATAGTTTCAAGTGACAAATGGCCACACCTCTATCAATCATGTCAAAAATACAATAGATGTCAAGTACTCACGCGTTTCCGGTTGAATGAGGTTTTTGTACCCCTGGGGCAAATTTATTATTCAGGTCCTAATCACTTCTTGGTCTTTTTGAAAGCACATTAACAGAATCCTTTGCATATTCACTGAGGTCTGTGCCTTTTAGATCTGATGAGTGCGTCGAGAAGGAACTCACACCATTAAGACCAAGAGTTTGTTAAAACCGCAGGAAGATTGTTTAGTGAAAGTACTACCGTGGTCCAGTTAAAAACATTAAAAATTTGAGAAGGAAATCTTTGCAAGCGACGGAAGCATTGATCCTCATCGCTTACTCTTTTCCTTCTTCGCAAGCTTTGTGTTATTTGGTTAATAACAAATCTTCCTTCGAAAACAACATTTTAACAACATTCCTCAATCCTCCGGGGGATTCTCACTAAATAGCCAATACGTGTGATAACAAACTGTTTGCCTCAAGTAAACAATCGATCCCGTATTTACTTTTCCATGAGTACAGCCACTTCATCACAAAGGCTGTTGGCAATCGTAGCGCAAACTATAACTATTATAATGAGAAAGAAGAGAAGCCGAAGCTGCGAACAGTTCCACGAATGAAAAAAACAGCTCACCTGACGAACTCGCTACCTCGTACACTACTGGTGACTCGCGAATACGGATGTAAATCGTGTGATTCGCAAAATATTTGGGGAAATTGTAGCCTGCTCCTTTTCTACTCCGTACTTTTACAAACCAGAGGATGACTCTAAATGAGATTACCGAAAAGGTCTCCTTCCATCTGTACAATTGTCATAGTAGTGGCTTAGGTGCTTTTGTCAACGTGTTTTAAATTAACAGTGCCTCGTTCGGAATGTTTATTGACCTGCTTATCTGTTCCAATTCTTTACCCGAATTGTACGGATATCTATTTCATTAGCATTAGCTGCGACTCTTTTCTCGTTACCTCGTGACTGTAAATAGTTAATCTGTGCCTCCTGATGTCTTTTTATTTTTCTTGGGCAGCTCTTAGGTGTGCGAAAATTGGTCTGGTCTTGTTAATGCGTTTAACTTTGTAAGCAGGAGGGCTGCTGCAAAATTCAATACCTGCAAGCAGACAAAAATAGTTAGAGGTGGATTCCTGAGAAACACGAGATGTGACGCCCCTTTCGTGGACTCTTATCGCTCTCATCTTTCAGCAATTCGGCCTTGATTTTGTGTTTTGTCGATCGAACTGAACCATACCTCGGAATGTCTGAAATTTTCAAATTCATATGTTTGCACTCCCACGAAATAACAGAAATTCTATTTGTAGTATAATGTACTAAAAACAGAAAATGTGTCTATTAACTGTTATATCGTTTTCACGCTGTGAAATGTACTCTTAACCCTTTTGAGACTCTCTCGAGTGTTGTAACAGTACTAAGATAGCACTTGTTGTGTACGACAAATTCAATTGTCACTCGTTCATACAGAAATAACCATGTTCCAACTTTATTTATTTACGTTACATTTGTCAAGTACTCAGCAAGAATCCCAATATCGAGAAAATTAAAGGCTTACTCAGGCTATAAATATCTTATGGAAAGGAAAGCCGGAATTTTGCGATCTCTAAATTGAGCTTCTAGCAGTAATTATGTCAGGCAGGTGGCCAGTGCTAATCTTGTTTTACCCTAAATTAGAAATTTCCCTCTATGAATTTTTATCTTTTTTTAGAATCTGATTTTCTTTTTGCACAAAAATCTGTATAAGTTATTATCGGGTCGTTGAAATCTATTGAAAAGTTCGGCAGAAATTGTTCTTTTTTATATTAATATGTATTTATGCCATAGAGACAAGGCTCCATGACGGACTTCAAAGCGCTTGTTTAGTTCAAAGATGAGATGTCCAAGATCTCAAGTGGTAAATTGAACCGCTGTACATGAACCAGAGGAGACTCTTCACGCTTTTTTGTATGCGGTAGTTGTCGCGTGTTGAAATCACTTGAGGAAATGTATCATCTTTTGAAACGGAAATCATACAGCAGTCAACACGTGTCTTACGATTCCTTTGCAAATTCGGAAACCCACGTTCGAAATTTTCATATTTTGGAAAGAACCAAGTTTAAAAATTGCATCACATCTCTTGGCGCACCCGTCTACAACAATGTCTGTTTGGCGAGATCGGAATGCGGTTTTAGAGACCGGCGTTGATGGATAACGTTTCAAAAATCATAACTGGTCAGTTTGTAATCATCAGGTTGGCGCCAGAGCATAAAATGAACAGATCACACTGTAATCATGGGAATTGTGTGCGACCAAGGAGATTGTTTGTATTTCGCTATGATAGTTGTAGTTACGTTGTACCTGACCTCGAAAAAAAGGAGAGAAAAAAAAACTAGACTGACGCAAAAATGTTTCATTTTTCCAGTTCAGCGCACTTAGTTGATGCTGATACAAAGCCGGCGTATGCTAACGAAGTTGTATAGAGAAGCGTTGTGATAATCTGTTTGTGGGTGGAGTTTTGAAAGCTGCTTTAGAGAAAAGATGGCAATTAGAGCTGTGAAATCCTTTTAGCAGGTGTCCTGACAGTCACACGAAAGTTTATATTGCCAGAGTCGACCATTTCCCTTTGTTTAGGAAGTTTGACCAATTCTTGCTTTTGAATGGTAAAAATAGTTTATGATAGACTGCGAAGAAAGTTAAATAAAGAACAGATCACTCTCCGAGACCTTTGTAGCTGCTCCGATAACTCGTGATTTTCGTGCAGTATACAGAAATGTCGAGTAGGGATAACCATCAGGTCAGGTCTTCATTAAGAATCTTATCATTCTTGCACGAGAATGTGGCCGTCTCTGGTACTTGTTGCGTTAACAGATGTCCAGGTTTGTCTGCTTAGACCATGGCATTTTACTCTTGTGCCTCAAAAAAACGCTAAAGGAAACATTCCGGATACCCACATAAACACTTCGTCGTGATCATCGCGAGATTATGTTACCCAGTGCCACCCTCCTTCCAAAGAGTTGGCAGTGAAGTGTCTTGTTATGTGGCACTGTTTCAATCTCAGAACAGCAGCTTTAGTTCACAGTATTTATCTTAAGGCGATATTCGAGGATTAGCTGTAGGATTACTAAGGGGAGCTAATTGTCATCGGTCTAAATCCGGTTCAGAGAATGAACAAAAACGTCTAAGAATTTGAAAAAAAAAAAAAAAATCCTTCTTCCAGTTGTCAACTGTGTGGGTGTAGTTGATACACAACATTTCACATTGAACCGAAGCTGGACTGCTTCCAAACCACTCGAAATGATTTGGGCGAGGAATCCTAACTAGAGCGTGAACCGGTTTTCCATTAGGTATGCCGCACCAAATTCTGATGTAAGACGCTCGGTTGGAAATGGACGTGTTCTTGGCGCACTGTAGAGTTAAGTTACTCTTGTTCGTCTACTCCAGATGACTTGCATCTCACGGACGGTTAGAACACGTGTACAGGTAGCCGCGACGTTACCTTCAATATTCGGTTTTGCTCCATCACCGCCCCCCCCCCCATCCCTTTCCCCAAAAAAGAAACATTTTCTGAAAGTATCCCCAAAGGGATTGTTTTAAATTGTAACAAAATGTCTTTCGAGTCTAAACAACATATTTTCTAACTTTTGCTCTTCAGGGACCGGTACAAAGACAATGTGCCTTATTTTCTGAAAAACAAGCGTGTCCGATATCGGTTTAGATCATACTGTTCAATGTCTGAACGTAATCCTATTTTCCTTACTGAGGCTGGAATTAAACAGTAATTTGAAAGCAATGGAGTATATCCTATCCACGAAAAATGTCGTGGTGGTTACAGCATTTTATTTAAAGGGCATAAAGCAGTTGACTGATTGAGCAGATTAGCGAAATGTCGAATACTGAAGTAACCCAAACTGCTGGTGATTGAAATCAATAAATGAAATCGGTATGCGTTATTGAAAAATAGATAATTTAATAAGAGAATAGAGACTTTTGAATGAAGACTTTAAATCTGTTTTCATTCAATTCCCATCACCTCTCGTTTGAGTGCGGAGAGTAATACAGGATTGAATTCGATATGCTTCGGTACCGCACTCACTGATTGGTTTAGAAAACTAGCGCCGCATCTACCAACCAATCAGACTCAAAACTGAAACCAATTGCGGTTTGTTCAGTCGTGTTTTGCTGTTTGTGTATGTATTGTCTTTGAGTTCCGTTTGGCTGCATTTGAAATTTAAAGGCTTGTGATTGGCCGTAGTAATTACTTGGGTAGATATCATCAGAAATCTAGAAGTAATAGTCTTTGAGGCTTTATGCTCTCTTGCCCCAGTTTTTAGGTTACCAGGGAATTGATTGACTCCTATAATTTCCTAATGTTTAACCCTTTAACTCCTTTTAACCATATCAATACATTTTCAGCAAACAGGTAATGAGAATATTCAAACTTATCAGGTAAAAGATGTTATCATCTTGATCTAGCACCAAGTTCTCATAACTAATTTACAAGGAAATGTGTAGCAGCTACAGAGGAGAATTAACAATCAGATCTTGGGAGTTAAAGGGTTAAATGATGAAGTTTTGTGATTTGTCTTAATATGGTTAATATGTACTTTAACATTTTTTTTTCGCTTCAATTCATTTATTTTACTTCACAATATTAGAAAACGACTATTATGATATTGTAAGACAATTGTTATAGATTTAATCATCTACAACGTGTAAACATTGCATTTGATTTCGGTTTAAATGATTGTACATCTCGGTTTTTTTCTTCATTTTTTTTGTTTCGTCGTTGTTTGGCCTTTTCCGGCCATATCGCTATATTGCGATATTAAAATGAAAACCCTTCACGAATAATTACGTTTGAAGAGCCGGAGCTTATCCAGACGATATATTCTGCCACAAAGATTTTTTTTTTAATCCTTAGCGGTGGGTTTTAAGACTGTTTTTACCTCTTCAGAGTTTAAGCTAGTCACTTGTCATGACCATTAATCCGTAACTTTGGTTAAATTGTTCTGTAAAAGCGAAGTTAATCGTGACAGAAAGGTTGATATGCATGTACTCAAGCTAGACGTAAATGTTATTGAGCTGTCAAGTGCAGATACTAAACATGTTTTCGGATTATGAGTATTTGGAGAAAGAATGAAGGTTTCTTTTGTTATGCTGTAGAGTTGCTAAGATTTCTTATCAAAGTTTGTAACTTGATTAAATTGAAGGATGAATTGAAAGTTGATTCATTTTAAACCCACCGCCTTATCAAGAATTAACGTTATTGTTATAATTTCTACATTTAAACGTATATTTCTCAAAAGAGGTCAAAACCACGAGCTATATCTTTACGAGATGGTCAAGCTCGATACTTCCATTTATAACCTCAAATACACAGTAATTTGATTAAGTGATAGCTGAATAAAAACGGAACGTAACAACGTCTGTTATGTAACAAAGCTTATGAAAAAGCACCTACTTGCTCTTTCTGTTTTTTAAGCAACAGTGGAAGAGCTCAAAAATTGCTTGCTAATCCAAAAATTGCCCGCCCCCGTACTTCCTTACATTATGTATTCACAAAATAAGGTACCTCTGATTTTAGTTTATTTTGAATTATTTAAGGTCCGAGACGATAAATCCTCGTCGCTGGATTTTATCATTTTTTTTTCTTTACTTCTATGAGCGTGTCTACTTGATGTCGTGCTTAGAAGTTTATCGGAGAGTAGGTTTGAGGCAGACTCTGTGTAGTTGTTTATGATGTCTGACCAGTGCTCGCCTTGAAACCTGCACCAACTACTTTCGAAAAAAATATTTTCTTTATTGAAACAACTTTGGCCAAAGATTCGTTGGTGTCGAGTTTTTTTGCGAAAGTGTTGGAACCTTTCTCATTACGTCTTGCGGCTATAATGGTCGAATCATGAAAGTAAGTACACGTCAGCGTCACCACAGGTGACTCTTCTAATTCAAGTTCAGACGGAATGAAAATTTAATGGTTAAACGGCAAAGTTCACGGAACATTTAGCCTAAGGACTACTTTAACGCTGCATAAATACCGCGACATAATTCGTGGTGGTATTAGTTTTAATTATTCCTTGCTTCCAGGCTAGCATTTTTTGAGATATTTTTGTACTAAAGGCTTCCACTTTCCTTACTCTAGCATTCCATTTTCGCTTATTGAGAAAAGTAGCCAGCCGAGATGAAATTCTTCCTTGTTATATCGAGAGCTAAGTGAAACCTTTGCCTAAAATTATCAACGATTTTTTTTCCTTTTTTAATTTTTTTCTTGAAAAGCCGAAAGGGAAATAGCCCTGAGGATTCTGTATTGGGATTATATTTTGCCTTTTCAATCAAGGGTCCATGTCACACGTAAAGAATACATTTATGGTTTCGAAATTATGTTCAAAAAACAATATTACAATTACATATCCTTTAATACTGTCTACACCAATTTCTTAAAGTGATGCAGCACACTATGTTGTACTACAGGCCATACCTTCAACCACGTCCAGTTCAAGGAAAACGTTGGAACTCAAGAGATTTCATTTCAACTATTGCGCACAGCTAAGAGCAGTCTTGAATCCTCGCAGCGATTCGTTGTTTACCCCTGTTTACACTAATCCTATTTCTGTGCAATTATCGTTCTGCTGTAAACCTCTAACATGCAGACTGATAACAAATTAGAACATTTTGCCTTCGAAGGTATACAAATCGGTTTAGCGGTCTTGGCAGCTACACAATAGCATTATCAGAGCCTAAGGGCAAATGGCAGGTGTCACGGGGGAACAATCTTCTTCGTATTTGTGTCCTCAATCATCGAGAATGGAAATTAGAGTTATTTGCCATTCTCTTTATTAATTTGTCAGCAGTTGCTTTTGATATCACTAACGTAAATGCTCTTATCCGGTCATGAATCTTTAATGATTTGGAGCTACTACAGTACATTTCATTAACTTTCGAGCACGACACGAACTCAACAGCGTTTTAAACGTGAGGTTTAAGGAATTGACTTTTTAAATAGCTTTAAAGTAAACGCACGAATAAGGTTTATTAGTGGTCGTCTAGATTTAGAGATAAATTGAAATGCATAACTTTCAGAGCAATTAATTATAACTGCTTTGCATTGCCGATAGCGAAGCAAATCGGCATAGCTGTCATCCCTCCCACGCAAGGGAAAGCAGATGTAGATTTGGCTTTGATCCTAAATTTCCACTTTATTGTGTCGAAAAGGTCTCCGGAATACGATAATATTTCATATAATTGACTAAGAAATTGTTTTAAAAGACAAGTTATTATCCACGCTCGAAGGGCGAAAGGGACAGAGACGACAATTTCATCAATACGCCCTCTCCTACTCTGTAATTTACATGCAGATGATCTTGCCGCAAATTGTTTGCAAAAAATCGGTGAGCACGTACACAAATTACCCATTCTGATGATTCGTAAAAAAGTTGATGAAAGTCTGCGGTGGAAACTTTGACATTCTTTTCAGCACAAGAAGCGACAGATTAAACATGAACAAGTTCTCACTTACCGAGTGGTCATGAAAGTTATGTTTTTATCGTCTATATCTAATGTGCATCATAAAGGTTGAGAGGCTTGTACATTTGTTAACTGCCGAGGTACCGAGAAACTTCCGTTTTAATTAAAGATTTGATGAACAGCGAGCAAATCCGGGACATAACTGCTGCGGGTGACAAAAGTTTGGAATAAACTTGATTCTCAAGCTCTGAGAATTATAAAAACCATTTTTGATTGAAATATTGTGATAGTGGTAACACGCTCACCTTGATTAGGGCCAACGAATAACGTTGTAATTAAATTGTCTTGAACGGTACGAGCTTAATGATCAGCGATAACTACGATGCTGCAGTTCATACGCTCCTCAATTTTTAAACCATAATTTTTATCATGTTATTAATTTATTGTATCTTTTTTGTTTTTGTTTTTGTTTTTATGAGCTGTATAAGCCTTCGCAAAGTGCTACATTCGTAGGAAGATGTTAATATGCTCACTTTACCTCACTCTGCCGTCTCTTTTGCTTCCATATCACTCTATGACTCGTTGCTAGATGGCGAGGACGAGAAATTCGTTAACCTGTCGCGTATATTTTGTTAAAATCTAGACTGTTTTGATAGCAGCTGTTGGTGGTCTAAGTCTAGAAGGGTATCAGAAAAAAAATTTTCCGACAATCGCTTCAGCATTGTAAACACTGGCCTTGCAGTGATATGTTCACTTACCTTAATCTCCGAAACAACTCATTTTGTCAGAGTATTGTATACCAGTTGTACCAGTTGCATAACATCACACTCTCTTTGTTGTTCATGCTATAAATCATGTAGGTATTCGCGAACGAAAATGACTTGGAGTCTATTCTTAAGTGCTCCTTACGCCCTCTTCACATATCAGTGGCTCTCAGAAGCCACTCAAGCATTTAGTGAAGAGCTTTCTTCTATTTTTAGTTATTTTCCCATCGCGTGGATGGTGCTTAATACGGAAAACATGTTAATTTTCTGCGCAAGCTGCAGCGGGATTCATAACGTGAGAAGAACCATGATAAAATAACAAGATAAAAAAAAAAAAAAGAACAAGCAAGGAAAAGGAAATCAACTGAGATTAAATTCAATCACTCGCCTCCAATAATAAAACGGAAAAACAACCAAGTTGACTATTTTCTAACAATTAGTAGCAAAGATCAAAACTTAGCAAAATATTTAGCTGCTGTGCGCAAGAAATGGCAGGTTCCCCTGCCACAATTTCTAAACCAATACAAACTGTTTTTCACTCCATTTTCTAACTTGGTAACAACATAAACAGAAACACTGATATTTTGCAACTCAAAAACAGTCATTAGAGAATTCTAGATAACCAGCCGTTGGCTCTAAAGATCAGCGGAAATCGAGTGCAGAGAATCCTCGGCTAGATGATGAAACTATGAAAATGCGTGACTATTATCTAGTTGTTGCTTTGTGTTATGACTGTTATTAGAAGTGGATAGAACACCTCTTGCAGATATTAGGAGCTAACATAGCAGATAATATAGATGACAGCTTAAGGTGAAGTATAACCACAGTATTGCTGTCTGACCTTGACATACGCAAAGGCATGATTTGTCTAACGGGCGTAATTGACCATGGTGTAGTGACTTCGTACGCTGGAGACTGGGGAGGAATTATGACCATGTAACCCAATTTGAAAACGTTTTGAAATCGGATTAATTGTTAAGATCAGGATATAGACCAATTGCACTATACTTTGTACAGGGTTATAGGCTTAAGATTCTATTTGCTTTTTTCGACACGTTTATTGTCAAGTCGTATGATGAACGTTATAGTTACTATAAGGCAACTTAGCTATTTCTCAACCATCGCTACCTTATAACCGTTTAACCCCTAAGAGTGACTAGCATCTAATTTCTCCTTACAACATCACCTCTGAATCACACATTCAGGTTATGAGAATAAAGAAAATGACAGTCAAAGGAACTCTTGATTGTTAAACAAATTCTCCTTGTCAGCACCTTAGGAAATGTATAGAGAACAGCATGGAGAATATGCATACTGATGTTGGAAAGGGTTAATCTATTTGGGTATATTTCAGTTCACTAGTCCGCTGGCTCTGTTTACGTCGAACGATTCGTTCTTTTGAGGTCAAACGAAGTTACTCTAACGGTCTATTCACATTTGGGGGGGGGGGGGGAAGACGTGCTCGTTGTGTAATTTTCTTGGTTCTCCTGAATAAGTAATTACATCCATCTGTAAAGCCTGACGTGGAAACGTTCCTTTTAGTTTTTTCCAAAGACAACATGCCACCACGGTTGCGGCAATGACAGCTCCACATAACAGCATCGCTACCGGAATAATGTATCTCGAGTGGTTAGGATCAACCGGCTGAGGGTGTTGTTTTCCAAGAACATCTGTCGAGAAATAACGGAAAAAATTTAGATCACAATAATTATGAAATCAATTTCATTTTAGACCTGTAGATAAAATTCAAGTGAAGAATAATCCTAGCAGGTGAGCGACAATTTAAGCAGCTACAAAGGAGCCTAATTTAATTGCAGCTTACCCGCGAGGATCATTTATTCCCTTGAAAAAAAATGTAGAAATGATTAAATTGCAACTCGTGGGTATTTTTGATTCGCATGTAAATGCTTCAAAAGAAAAAAAAAACTCCTGGTGAACTATGCGCAACAGTGCACTACCACCTGCTCACCCACGCACCCTCTTAGTTTTCTTCCAGTTTAGGTTGTTGGTACTCATTTGCGTTTCGAAGTGGCCACCAACCTTGATAGTTGTGGCGTCTTCCACTGGACGATCATGTATAGGGTACCTATAGACGATTTACAGCTTACCTGGGTGGTTCTCAGTCGAACTCACTGGTGCCAATCCAACTGTCGATACCGTTGATGTAAATAGATTTCCTAAGTTCAGCAAAAATGTAAAAAGAATTGACAATTTAAACAAAATTAAGTTATTTGACATGCAGTTTTTCTGGCCGGCTTAGATTATTCACTTGTTGGGAATCATGGTCGACTACGATCAATTTATACGAAAGTACTGATTTGTTAGCACATAGAGTTTTGTCTTTCAATGAAATGACTAGTTGAAATTATTCCGTCCATACTGCAAAGAGAGTTTGAAATGTAAAACAATGAACGCAGACCTACTCTCAGGTGAAAAGGATAAGCTTCATAGCTGTAGTTAAGGTCACCTCCCGTCGTCTTCATTTTTTCATGATCATACATTTGTACAACTTGTAATTTGTGCTTTCTCTTATTTTAAAAGCTAGTACTTTTCTTGAAGGACTTGAGGGTTTTAAATACTTTCAGAGCAACCGCTGAGATCCTTGTCAACGTGATTTCTCCAAAGCAAGAGTGTATTACTGAAACGTGAAGTTTTAAAAGTTATGTGCACATTGTTGCATTCGCCGTTATATTTTAGAGTACAAGCTTCGAAGTATAATTTTCAAAATGCGAGACTTCAAACTGCTCAAGGACGCAAACTTCAGAGGTAGCATTCCATTTGTAGTCCTATTTCCAAACAAACCTCAAAGCTTAATTTGCATAGGTACGGGGATTTCTTGGAAGTTACGTTATAGAAAGGGAGTCATTTGGAGAGTATGCGTGTGCGACGTCGAGTTTTTAACAGATACTAACCCGTAACAGCATCCTTGGGTTGCACATTTTTGATGAGGAATGCACTACTGAAGTCGTTGCCAATATGATTGCTCACAAAGCAAGTGTAGAGTCCAAAATCGTCCTCAGTCACATTTACAATATTCAACTCGACACCATAATTACTTTTTACTCCAACGGTCTTGTAATAGTATGGGTCTACAAGGCGATATGATCCATTTAAAATTTCATTGTAAGTTTTCGGAATAGAATTGACGGATTTGTTCCATTTAAGCCATCTGAAATCTAAGGGAGTTCCACTAACCAAAACAATACAGGTTAATGTTGCATTATCTCCAACTTGCACAGTTTTGTTCTTTAGAAGACATGTCTGTAGGATCGGAGCTGACCGAGGTCTAACTGTTGAGAAAAGGGAAGATAATTTTGAAGAGAAGGTACTTGAAGCTCTAAAAATATTACTTCATGATGTACAAATCAGAAGCCAGAAAAAAAAATTTCAAACGCTGACAAATTTGCAAAATCTTGAAAATTACGATTCCTTATGTGTCCCAAATTGCTCGAAAAAAACTTGTGGATATTCTAGTGGATGGCATACTATCTGTTTAGCCTGCCTTTATCGATAACATCATTGGTTATCGTGCGGTTTTGAGGCTTTCTTTCGGTATTTTTTCTCTCTCTAAACTGTAATTGTCACCATCCTGTACCGAAAATTCAACGCTTTTTTCTCTAAGAATGCCACCCTCTTGGAGTATTTGGGATTAACATAGTCTTTCAGGCTTAAAAATAATTTTCTCGGGGATTTCCTTTTTTGCGTCTATCCATAATAGTTTTGATATTACGACTGTAATCAACAGAATGATAGTTACCCGTATTTGTTTTTCCTTTTTTAAGTGAAAACAAAGCGAAAAACAATATATATATATATATATATATATATATATATTCCCGGATCGAGTGAGTTACAATGTCATATAGGTTAACTTATAAATCAGCGAAAATTTCATTTGCTAGACTTACTAACAACTTGAAGAGTAAAAGTGTGATTTATCGAACCATATTGATTGGATACTATGCAGGTGTATCTCCCAGAATCATCGGGTACAAGATCTCGCAGTTTCAGGTACCAAAGGGAAGAATTAACATATGGGTCCATACGTCGTTTTTTTATGATCTTTCCGTCCTTCAACCATTTGTATTTGAGCGGTGGTGCACCAATTGCTTGACATTTTAGTCGTATGGAGTGTGATGCAGGCCATGCCCTGAACGATCTCTTCAGCAAGTTTGGATCACTAAATATCGGTGCTCTTGCTAAAGTGCAAAAACAGAAACAAAAACAGAAACAAAAACAAAATAATAAAGCTCGTACATACCGTTGAACCGAGTGGATGAATGATTAGTAACGGTGATAAAAATTATAATAGAAACGAGTGGGGTCCTATTCGGTCTGTAATCAAACGAGTGATTTACGGAATCGGACGAACGATAAATGGGAGTCCGATTTTCTGATCACGCGGATGATTACAAACAATCGGACGGCACGGAATCAAAAATCAAAAAAAAATTGCAAAACAAACTAGACATCGGTTCAACCGAAAGAACAATTAACTCGGCGAAGAGTGCAACAGCAACGCGCGCATGTAACGCGTTATCTGCTCCACTACTCTGTCCATCTACAAGCATGACACGTACACTGTTCGTTTTGGAATTTCCGCGTTGTTCTCCGCTTCTCCTCGCTCCTTCCTTTTTGCTTTGTTTGTATTCATTGTCTCTTTTTCACAAGAGGGTTATGCGTTTCGCTGAGTGCATTGACATTCTTCTAATGAGTTATTATCCATGAGCTACCTAAAGTAATTAAACAAGATGGCAGGTACTCACTTGATTCCGGAGTCTTGAGATTCGTCATGAAATCTGAAAAAAAGAGATCGTTTCTCAAGACCAGGTACGTATCTCTAAATTGTGGTCAGGGAGAAATAACGGTACTTATTCTTGTTAGGATACATTTTTTTTATAACAAGGCATAATTTTGGGGCTGGGGCTGAACGTTCTAATTTTTTTTGCGATTTGAGCGTGGTATAGTATTTCAATTAATCGATTAAGTTAGACTACAAACTGAAAAGTTATTCAGTGTATCGTGCAATAATATAAAGACATTGCTAATATTAAAAAATATCCTTAAGTTTTTTAGTTATTGTTCCGTTAGACCAGAGTTTTACATTTCTTTCACATTAATTTACACTTCTGACGGAAAGGGGCAAAATATAGACGACCTTAACTGACTCTCAGCCTGGGTGTGTTCTAAGTTTGTTTTAAAAATTTGGTTTATTCCAACCTGAACGTTCTTGTAAAAAAAAAAAGGTTCTTACAATAAAAAGTGTATGCCGGCTTAGATACTTGTGCGTACTCGAGGGTGCATGATCTGGGCCTAGGGTGCAAAGTGTCGAAAAGTCGCCGAAAGCGTTTCTGCAGTCCTATTTTTGTTTTCATTTTTAAGTCAAACTTATAAATAGCCACCAAAGTATTAGGGTTGGTTCTGCAAATCAAGAAGGTTGAACCATTATAAACAAACTCATGATGAGGTGCTTCTCTGTAGATCTTATATGATTGCTTACCTCTAGCCTGATGCTCAGTTGTGGGCCTTTTAGTTGCTAGTGGTGAACCAGTAGTTGTCAGAATTTCATCATGACGCACGTTTAACTGGAGCGTCAGGTTGACTTTACCGAGAGGATTTTCAGCAATACAGGTGTAGTTGCCTTGGTCATCAAGTCGGACTCCTTTGATCTTAATAGTTTTGTTCTTGTTTAGCTTTCTTATCCTCTCAGACTGGTGCAAAGGCTGGTCTTTTTTGATCCATGTGATATTCGGTGGTGGAAGCCCTGTCACAGCACATCTTAACCGTTTTATATCTCCTAATCTAGCGACATACAGTGGTTTTAGAGTACCTTGAGCACGTGGTGGATAATTGTCTGTAAAGATTTAATAATTGATATTTCAAGTCAGTTTTATATTATTAATCGTTTGTCACTAGTTTCGGAGTGAAAAAGCGCAATAAGACCCCATTCGTGTATTAACAATCATTGCAACTATGCTAAGTTTTGCTGGGGGATAATGCCATTCCTAGGAGACAGATTTTATACCGGCAGTACAGTTGATATAATCGTGTTATCGAAGTAAGAATTATTGCATATTTCCCCTTAGGAAAATTTTCGAAAATTTGAAACCGTAATCGGAAGAGCCGAAAAATGTAACACAATTTTTGGGTCGCAATACCGAAATACATAAACAGGTCAAAATAAACACAGTCGATCAGATTTCATTTCTGGCGCGTATTGTGCCGTAATAAATAAGAACCCAAATCAGACATTTTGCTTTGCTTTTGCCATTCTACTTCGACAAATTATCGACATGCAACAGCAACAAATATTTGCCTTTTTCATCCTGTATCAGAGATGGGTAAATGAATATAAACAAATCCTGAATGTCGCTTTTCTTAGAAGAAAAGCTTGAATTCGTGTTGCACCTTACATGTGGACCATCCCTAGCTCAGCCGAATCATGGTTTGATATTCACTACTTGAGCTCTTTGCTCTTCTTGCGGCCATTTGTCGTATTTCTTTTTTTTTCTGCCAAACCTTCAGCTAACCTTGAGCTGGTCGGGCCACAGGCAGCCCAGGCGCCAGCTGTGAGAAGATCATCTTGCACAATAACAGACATGGCGGAATAATAAGAGTTTGTATGAGAATAAAAATTTGACCGCTCTAAGGAATACAACAATACGTCAAATTCTCAATGAAAATAATCCACCTTACTTTCACAGCGTATCACTTAATGAAAAGTACCCATTTTAGCGAGCTGTCCATTTCGAGGTTTTCAACTTACATTGGGCTTTTCTTATGTACGTTGAAAACCTCGAAGTGGACAACTCGCTAAAATGGGTTCTTTTCATCAAAGAAAGCGAACAGATAACAAGTGATGCGCTGTGGAAGTAAGGTGAGTTATTTTTTATTGAGAATTTGACGTATTGTTTGATTCCCAAGAGCGGTCGTAAATATTCTCAAACAAACTCTTATAATTCCGCCATGACTGTTATTGTGCAAGATGATCATCTCACAACTGGAGCTTGGGTCGCCTGTGGTCGGGCTATCGCTAACACTTACAACACATGCTGGACTATCGGACGGATTAAGCAAAAATCCCGCTGGGTTCCGCTTGATCTAAGATCGGTCCAGCCAATGTAGGGTCGAAATGACGAAAATTTTGGCTTAGGAACGACCCTGGCGCATAGTAAAAAAGAAAACATCCATCCATGCTGAAAGTTGGATATCTGGGTCAAATGACTGCGTTGACAGCTCCGGAAGCGGTGTCTTTTGTTTTTTTCGATTTTTTTTAAAATCTACCTGCCCCATCCGTTCAGTCTTTGAAGTTTCTGCAGACTTTCCGAAATTTTAGAAATTTTTGAAACACCGGTCGCATAAGAAAACGCGTTGTAATGATAGACATTAATTCTTTTTTGACGAAATATTGATCAAAACGTCCCTAGTGCGACCCGGGCCTATTTAATGAGAGTAAGTTAGCTCGAACGTTTTGATTCAGGATACAAAATTCTCCTCGACATTACTTTTTGTGCATTTCTGCGTATAATCTTAGATCCTACGAGAGAAACTTCTTTCAGGTACTTTTTGAGTGGTTCCATATATTTCTACAGGATCCAGAAAAAGAAATTTTTCTCCAAATCTAACTTTCGAGAGCCACTTTTGAGAGTGAGAGGGTAACAACTTGTCAATTGATCGATAGCAAACTTTCGCATTTTCGATAAGGCTGCACCGCCTGGTGAGGATCTACCGAGAACTTTTAATAAGTTCCAAATTCCCGAGTAGAAGACAAACTAGTAGAAAGCCCGTTGACAAACGTTCGAGCCCAACACCCGTTGAGTTTTAGATGTTTTAATAACGCGTGGCTGCGTCCATTGCGATCGGTGGTATTAAATAAGATAGCCTAAGAGCAGTATACGAGCGTCTTTTCTCAAAAAGAGCGAAAACGGTGTCAAAATCCTACAAACCTCTGTTTAAAGTTAGCATTCGTTGAATATTTTTATTAAAAATATCTAAATGTAAATGTTATGAAACAATGAAGTATTTAGATATCTACTTACCGGGTTGAGCAGTCTGCGTATAGATTATAAAGTTGACCAACAATATCGACCAACACCGCTTTGCCTGCATCCTCACATCGACCAAAGCCTTCCTTTACGAATTAACTTACTCTTTACCCTAGAAATTCGCCAATCGATCCAACGATTGCCGGATAACTACGGAGATAAGTGCTTTTCTAGGTTAGATGATCTTTCGGTGGCCTTCAGCCCCAAGATAAACCAGGTAGACAATTCATTTGCTTGTTGTCAATCTGATGGCACAATACTGACGTAGTGCCAAATAGCGAATTATTATTGGGGCATTCCAAAGGAAACGCCCGAGTTGAAATTCCAGAAACGCTTTTTTTTCGTTGGGTCGCAAATCGCAGTCAAGTCCTCGTCACGCATGCACAACCTTTTGACTCTGACGCATGCGTGACGTTTTGACTAATGAGCACATGGTATAGTGTAATGGCAGACGATGAGAAGCTTTCGCGGAGCAAAATGGGCACAGACACTGTGTATAATACGCTCAAAACGCATACAAAATATGCACACATCGTTCGCGGTAGAGCCACACTAAAAGATGTCGAGTGTTTTCCGAACGGATTGGTCCGTGAAACTTGTGAGAGATCTCTTTATTAGCGAACATTTATGAGTGAACCTTTCATTGAGAAACATGCGATATCAACTGAGCTATCTAATGTTAATCGAGAGAAGCATAGACGCAAATCTCATCGTGTATTTAGACGTGATCGTGATCGTTATGTTAATGCTAAAAATAATAAAATGAAAGGACTTAATTTTAACTGTCGTGAAAGAATTCGTCAAAGTATAAGAAAGGTAAAATATCGTGTCAGTCGATATTTAACATTGTTTTCTTGGAACAAACTGATGTGTTCTTACAAGAATGAGGCTGAATGTAGCAAATTATTGCAACTATAAATTAAAGGGATACTCCCCACCAAATTTTACCATTTAGTTAAAATGTAGATCTTTTGTCAAAATAACTACTGAAAGAAGAAAAAGTTCCCTAAAACCTTTCATTCGGTTAAAATCCTAGGTGTAAAAGCGCAAAATTCACTCAATTTGAGGACAGGAAGTTGAACTGGCTCTTTTTTAAACATGTGATTCATGACGTAAAAGGAGAACTGAAAAACATTTAAGCGATCGTAAAGAAGTTCGACTCTATTGATTCGAGTTGTTCTTTTTCGAGTTCATCTTCGATGATCGAGAGTGCAGACGCTCAAGCAACGCAACTATATTTGTTTGAGCCTTATAACAGTGAGGCTAGTTCTGACTCCTCGAATGAATCAGATGAGGCCGATCCATTCGAGCGATTACGAAACACAGACTGGTAAGCGATTTCAGTGAGTTACAATTTTCGCCTTTTGGCGAAATCTTTTCGTTTGTCACTTCACAAAGTGAAGTGATCATTAGATTTGAGACATGTAGCAGTTTTTAGCCTAAAAAATACAGGACTTCAACTTGAACAGAGCGGCATTTGTTGTTGACACAATAAAGCTATTCTCTCACATTAGCTGTGCATGTCACATGTTTCTTATCGATTCTTATAATAAAGTTCGGATATAACGCGCGCTGTCATTGGTTGAAAGAGCATGCTCTATGAGAGTATAGAGCATAGAACTGAGCTAAAGCTGTCACGCCATCTGCCAAATTGTACTATGTTCGACCTTTTCTGGGACTTCTTTTTAGCTTTTTTCCGATAACTGAAAGTAAAATTTCGGAACAAGCGAGCCGGCAAGTAGCAACAGAAGAACCAAACAAAGGCGAGTTTTGCGGCACTGTCATCCCGAGCGATCTTCATGTTCCGGTGAATTCGGCTGTAGTTCATTTAAAAAACACTTGCCTTGAACAGTTTGTTTTCTACCTTATCATGTGAAAAAACTCGCGTGTTTTTTATGAGCCATAATTCGGCTGAAGTTCACTGAACATGTCACTTGAAGATTCTGTATTAAAAACTTCAGGCAAAAGCGTTAAAATCGACCTGCCGAACTATTTTAGTTTGTAAACTATCGCAGATTATGAACTTTGATGGTTTTTTTAACTTTGATGGTTTGACACTTTTGACAGCTTTTGTCTTGTAGAGCCAATTAGATTATTTGAACCATTCTAACAGGGATTCTGATTGGCTTATTGTAGCGTGCTCTATGAGAGTATAGAGCATGCTGACGACATTGTTGTTCGCTTTGGACTTGTTTTGAAAATTGGAAGTAATGCATGGGGAATTTGACTCAAGAAGTGGGGAGAAACAGTCGACTACGTCTCGTGTTTCTCCCTACACTTCTTTCGTGCTCTAGCCGCTTCCTGCGTGCTTTATAACAGAACAGAGCACAGTCAAGGCTTCTCTATTTGTTAATTAAGCTTGCGTAATTCCTCATACCTTTACCTCTTTAGCTGTACTATTGAAGCTGATGTTCGAAATTTTAGGAGTCGGTGTGGAAATTGTCAGGGATTGAATCGAGTTCTCGAATGTGTTTGCTGTCGCAAAATCGATTGTGTTGTTGCCAAAAATAATGAAGCAATCGAATCTGAAGGACTGGCCGAGCCACCGGTTTGTATAACACAGCACCCTGGGTTCAATCAATGAAGACAGGTTTATATTTCTTTTAATACATACCCTTCTGTATGCTCCTCGCAATTGTTGTCGATTTTGTTTTGATGATCCCGCGCTAGTCTCATCAACTTGTGAAGATAAAAGGTTTTTTCTTCCACGAGCCTTTGTTTCTTTTTTACAGGCGGATTAGTATCAAACATTGAGGGAACGGCATTGTATTTTAGAAGGGCTTTCATCTTTAAACCCATAGATTTCGCTAGAACTGACTGTTCCTCAAAAGAATCGGTAGCGAAGTGAATGCTGCACAGACGGCTAGAGTTTATTGGGTTCACAAAATCGGATCGCGTATTTTTCACGGCTATCGTCCATAAACTGGCGAAATGAGGATCTTCAGGCCACTTATGAAGGCTTACTCCATCGCTACGTGTATTGGAACATCCACCGGCCACACATCGTTGCGACATTATTGTATTTTTGTAGCGCGTTTTCGATTCTGAAGAAGTCCCGGTGCTCTTGTTAACGGAAGTTGAATGAGTTCTCACTTCTACGTCACTTCCGTTTGTAGGCTCAGCTCCTACACTCGGACCGCGCGTTAAAGAAAGTTTCTAATTTAACGAAAACTAGAGAAGATTTACATTTTTCACAATATCTGTTTTATTTAAGTTATTATCCGTCTTTTCTCAAAAAGTTATTACAGGCTAGAGAGTATCCCTTTAAGTAGATAGTAGTCAACATATGTTAACCCTAACAAAACAACAGTAGCTCCATATAATCAAGGTAACGAGTTAGTATTTAGATAGAATGCAGGACAGCAAGGTGTTGCAATGAGTTTGTGTCCTTTGATTTACAATAACACACGAGGGATCAGATCTGCAAATGATCTTATACAAATAATGAATATTGGAGATCAGCTGTATTCAAGTTTGTCACGATTAGCCAGACAGGCCTATTTAATACAGCCAGAATTACCAACAGCATTAACCCTTTAACACCCAGAAGTGATTAACATAAAACTTCTCCCTACAATATCCATACATTCTTCAGCTAACAGGTGATGAGAATATTCAAACTTATCGGGTAGAAGCTGCTATCTTGATCTAGCACTAAGTTCTCATAACTAATTTACAAGGAAATGTCTAGCAGCTACAGAGGAGAATTAACAATCAAATCTTGGGAGTTAAAAGGTTAAAGTATCACCCCTGAATAAAACATCTAAGTTGTGAGAATTATAGCGAGAATGATCTCTAACAGTAGAAGCTCTTGTTTGTTAATCAAATTCTCCTAATCATGACCACCTCAATGACCACCCTCTCCGCAAAGGTAACCGCTTGCGACGGGCCTCGTCAGACCAACAACTACTGAGGAACAGTGAAACATAATGTGTGTTAAGTCCCTTGAGCTGACTGTTTTCATTCATTTTATCCAAGTACATTGAAACCTTTATTAAGCCATGAAAAACTTCTAGTGTCTCCTGAACACTTTAACTCCCAGAGGTGATTAACATAAAACTTCTCCCTACAATATCCATACATTCTTCAGCAAACAGGTGATGAGAATATTCAAACTTGTCAGGTAGAAGCTACTATCTTGATCTAGCACTAAGTTCTCATAACTAATTTACAAGGAAATGTCTAGCAGCTACGGGGGAGAATTAACAATCAGATCTTGGGAGTTAAAGAGTTAAATGTGTTTAATACTGATTATCAACCGGAATACAGTGAAAGCTACTCTGGTACTCTTCACCAAGAAATTGCTATATTAAAACTATTATAATCTTACTGTATGTCTTTTTCCTCACTGCATATATACAGAATAAAAACATTTTCATATGCAAATGAAAATTTGCAGTTACTGCAATTATTAGACTCTGAATTTTTTGTTCATTATCAACTGCTACAAACTAAATAGTCACTTTTCATTCAAGGGCAAATGAAAATAGTGGTTTTGATTAGAGTGATTTCAATAGGCCTGGGTGCTGCTGATGAATTACGATAATGATATTAGATGCTAAATGCCTTGTGACCTTTTGTTTCTGTACATCTTTTAGGGTGATATTCGTTTGCCCATGAACTAAAGAAATGATTATTTAGTTTGTAGTACTTGATAAAGAACAAAGGAAAGCAATAAATTCACAGTACACCATTAACTATTAATAACCCTATTCTTTTACGGAAAATGAAAATTACTCTAAACACTAAAAGTTACGTAGTACTCACCAGGTTTAGTGAAACCACACTCGCCAATAAACCAAAATATATTAACTAAAGTAAACTAGCCTAGTATCTTCAAATGGAAACAAAAAAATTGGGAGGTAATCGTACAAAATATGCCTAAGTATATTTCACACATCCATGAGAACCATTCTAATAATCCCATAAAATTAATAGTTCATCTAGTGATAACCTTTGGTAGAGACTTTTTGTTTTCTTTTGGTTAAGAGTCATCACCCTAGCACTTGGGGCTGTTTATAATTAAAAGCTATCTCAGCCTGAAAATTTTGTTAACCAAGAAAAAGAAAAACATAAGAAGACAGCCTGTTTGGCAAAAGACTTACCCCGCTACAACCCCTATCCTGCAAAACAAAATTTAATCAAGTCAATACTCGAAAAAAGAAAAAAATCAAAATTGTGTCTAGTAATAAGTATTGAAATAGTAGCCAATTATACATGGCACCACCGCCCCCCACCCCACCCCCACCCCACCCCAGAAAAGGGTCTTTACACAACATAACAAATACTGTTTTAAGCTCTGTATACATATGTGAGAAACCTGCATCTGTGGCATAACGAGAAAAACAGTTACAGGTTAAAGTAATAATTGCATTAAAAAGAACTTAGGCGAATGCAAGCACAAAAACAAAGTTTATTTCCAACAGAGAGCCCGGGTGAACGTAAATATGCGTCTAGTTTTCTATTTGATGTCACCGTGACAGATGCCTTGCTTTCATGAAGATGTATAGAGAGATAAAGGGGAAATTTTGTCCGAAAAAGTCGATATTCTAATTCTCTAAGTGATTCAGCGTTAAGCACAGCCAAACAACGACACAAATTACTTTGTAAGTGAACCTTTGTATGTTGACTTCAGTTGAATTTTGTGTGAAATTTCAATAATTTCAAGTGACAAAGGCCACACCTCTATCAATCATGTCAAAAATACAACAGATTTCAAGTACTCTTGTGTTTCCGGTTGAATGAGGTTTTTGTACCCCTGGGGCGAATTTGTTGGCGTGTATTTTTCATCGTTATATCTTCTCCGTTGGAGTGGTCATATTCGTATTCTATTATAAAATTCAGATGAGATGTATGAGTAGTAAAGCCATCAGTTGTTTGATGTTTTGTTAAACGTGTATCCTCGGACCGACCAGCCACAGGGTCTTAGCTTTTCCAAGTCTACCTTGGGAGAGGCAACTTGGAGAACTGCTACTCCTCCAAACAGGAAAGGTGGTGACGGTGCATGGTGGAGCATGGCAGCTTACTTATTCACCATGTTTTGGGGTTTTTACAGATTTAATTTAATTTGACCTTTCTTTTTGTCAATCACTTTGTGAGCTATTTCGCTCCTGGAGCGCGAATCTCTGTTTTTCAACCCCCTTACCGTAAGTTTACATTTTCCATCCAACAAAGTTCACATAATACTGATTATGTCTTGTGGGGTCGTTTGTGTTTGGCCAAGGACGAATTCAGATACCATCGTTAGCATGTTTATTTGATTTTGTTATCTGGAATGAATGATTTACGGAGGTAAGTTAATATGATGTGATCCACTAACGTTGAAAATATGTAAAGTCGAAGGAACAGTTTTGGTCTCGGTCCGCATTTTTGTTAACAAAATAGACACATACCGCTTAAAAAGATGATAATACGGACCACGTGCAAAGCTATCAGTTGTTTCTCGAATGTTGTGCGTGTTAAATATTCAATAGAGACATCTCATTTACATCTACTTTTATTACGTTGGTAAAATCTGTACAGACATCACACCAACCAACTTGCGCGCAAAATGAGAAGACTACATGAATGCTTAACTTATATTAAGATCGATTTTGATCAAGAAATTGGCCTGATCGCAGAAAAGCGATTGCGTGACGCTCGGTAAGTTGTAAAAGGAAACGTTATCACATACCAGAGGAAAAAACTCTTTAGATTCTCAGTCTACATTTTGTACCCACTCTGCAGTATGCAGTCTACATTTTGTACCTGGTCCACAATTTGTCTCTGGTCCGCAGTCTGCATTTTGTACTAGCAGGTGCTGGTTTAGTTTTGGTTACAGTTATTCGCACAACGTACATAATCTACCACAAATACCTGTGTGTGAGTTAATTCGACATTTTTGTTCTTTTCCGCGTTAATACTCTTCTTTCCTTTTGTAAGAATGTAGACATCACTTACAATGTTTCAAGTAATCCACCCCCCCCCTCCAAAATAACTCCTGCATACATAACATGCCGATGTTTTTTAAAGCATTCGGAATGCAATGACATTCTTTATATAAGGACTTCCTTAAAGTTCTCTGAAGACCTTGTGATTTCACTAGACATACGGTAGATATATGCATGATCAAAAAAGACCTTTTTCCTTCCTTATCCCTCTACACGTTAGTTTCAATCGTCATCTCTTGTTTCTGAATACGAAAGTCTTCAATTTCCAACAAAACTGCTCTATAAATGACTAAAAATGTTGAAATGTTACAAATTTTCATGATACTAAAATTGAACGTTCTTGGGAAGCCCAAGCGAATGTAAGTAGATGTCTCATTTGAAAGCACAAATAATTGGTAGGTAAGTGGAGAGTAACCTATTCCGCGCAAGTTGAAAATGTCACCTTTTTACTACACCAACGTGCGAGCATGTGACCGCTCAGACAAAGATAGCTTATTACAGAATCTGTTTCTGTGGCTGATCGCTGGGAAGCGTTAAACATTTAACCAGTTTTCTGTCTCAGTGATCCTTTTCAACAGACTTTTGAAGGTCTATGTAGCTTCTTTTTCGCAGCTCCTTAGGAAGTTTTATTCTATCAACGTCATCAATTTTGATTACGACTAAACTATCATCTCTCCTTTCCATAAGTCGATGGAGGGCATAATCCATTTCAGAACCACAATAATTGCTATTAAAAAAGTTCTTAGACACGACAGCTAGTGTTTTTCTAGACTTGTAAACACTGTTGACCATATTTTCGCGGAAAGGTACTCCAAGAACGAAATCTCTGTAATGTACACAGCATTTAAAATGGTGTTTTTCCTCGAGAGTTGGAATAAGAGTTTTAACCACCCAATCCGAATCTTGGGAGCTGAAAATAACGAACGCATCGTATTCAAATGTAGGTTCTGAAAGAAGAAAATAAGAATATGATATTAGCTAAGGGGTTTATGTTCAAAAATTGCTACAGTAAAACTTTTAATCAAGCCCGTTGAAAACAGTGCTAACATAAGGGCTAACAGGCTAGTTTATAATGACCAATAAGGACGTTCTCTGGTTCAAGTTTTTTCCTCAAAAACGCAAGCTTTCGGCTTTCAGTCTAAAGCGTCCACAAACTCAGATGAAAAAAAATCGTCAAACCTCTTAAATAAGGCCGCCAACCTATAAATTTCAATTTAGACTTACTTGACAGTGAAACTGAAGGATTCAAGGATTTTTTGATTGGGTTCGATTGAAGGCGCCAACAGATAACGATTAAAATAGCCACAGTAATTAGCTCACATGCTGTGACGATTCCAGGAACAAGAGCATTATGAGTCTTCTGATCTGATGAACGACAATACGTTACAGGGTTATCATATCTTATCATCACAGACACCATGAACAATAGAAGTTAGGGCAAACCTGACGAAAAAATTCAAGTCTTAAAACGACAAACACGAGTTATATATATATGATGGTGTTTTCTTAGTCAAGTGGTAAGAGATGGGCACACTAGGGATTCCTCACTCCTAGTCATGCGCATTATGCGTCTATTTCCCATTTTGGCTTCGCTGCATTGGAACACAAGGTTTCGATCATATGACACCTTCCTCCAAAAGATGTTGAAGCGTCCACTAGAAGAAAATATCACTTTTGATTGCTGCTAATCACCACGACACCTAAATTCTCCATTGTGTGCGTTTGTCCATCTTTCAAGAATAAGGGCAATATCCACAAATACAATAACTTTATATGTGAGGAAGTAAGAGCGTTGGTCTGAATGTAATTGTAGCGATTCACGAAACATTTAGTAAAAGATTGTAGCACTTAATGTTTAACCCACCAATAGGTTCGTGTAGCTTCAACAACAGTTAGCTATTTGGAAACGTTCAGGGACTAGAGAAGTAGAAAATCGACTCTTTTCATTTCGTCACTAGCCATGTATGCGTTTTTTTCAAGAAGTTAAAGGATCACCTCATGTTTATCACAGTTAGATTCACTGAAACATTACATTCTTGTGATAGAAGATATAATAGGGATATTGTTTGATTCAAGACCACTGGCATTCTCAGAACTAAGAAATGTGTCGCAAACGGTCAGGAGAATTCTGCATTAACGAGCTAAATCATCAAGTTTGATTAAGTAAGAACGTTTTCTGAGGAGTATACCATACAGCGACTATACAAAAAGGCTTCACTTAAAAGGGCAGTCGCTCTGCTAGGTGTGCATACGAGAAAGTTTGCTGCGTCGTGTTTTTAACAGATACTGACCTGTCACAGGAACCGTGGGTTTCACATATTTGATGAGGAATGCACTACTGAAGTCGTCGCCGATATGATTGCTCACCAAGCAAGTGTAGAGTCCAAAATCGTCCTCAATCACATTTACAATATTCAACTCGACACCATAATTATTTTTCACTCGAACGGTCTTGTAATAGTATGGGTCCATAACGCGATATGATCCTTTTAAAATTTCATTGTAAGTTTTCGGAATAGAATTGACGGATTTGTTCCATTTAAGCCATCTGAAATTCGGGAGAGTTCCACTAACAGGAACTAAACAGGTAAATGTTGCATCATCTCCAACTTGCACTGTTTTGTTCTTTGGCAAACCTGTCTGTAGGATCGGAGCTGACCGATGTTTAGCTGTTGAGAAAAGGGAAGATAATTTTGAACTGAAGACACTTCTATATCAGAAGCCAAATTTTGAAACGAAAAAAAATTTTCGAGATCTGAAAAATTACGTGTCCTTAAGCCTAAATTGCTTGTGAAAAATTGTTGATATTACTGTGGATGCCATCTTGTCTCTATAATGTTTCGCTAAATTATGCTGTTGTCATGTAATTGTGTACTATTCAGAGAATAATACATGGGCACGCGTAGATATGGAGTTCAACTCGCTATCTCAGGAGAGAGCGCAGCGAACGAATGAGATTTGGAGTTGAAAACAAGAAGAGAAATTCCATATTGACAAGCAACCATCAAGAGATTATAAACTTTTATACTACATTCTCTTGCGGCCATTTATTATTTGTTTATTATTCTTATGGACACAATAGGCCTTTGCTGACAAGAAAAGTCGACTTTACCAATGAACGAAAAAGTAGGGTCCACAATCCGCGAAAAAAGGGTCGTAAAGTGCATCGGCAATAGGGCTCAAGATGAAAAAAATGTGTTGAATCCCAGTTACAAAAACAAAGAATGGACGTAACATTTTCTGCAAAATGTATTACTTTTAAAAGGGTAGTCGCTCGACTAAGAGCGGATAGGAGAAAATTTGCTGCGCCGTGTTTTAAACAGATACCGACCTGTCACAGGAACCGTGGGTTTCACATTTTTGATGAGGAATGCACAAGTGAAATCGTTGCCGATATGATTGCGCACCAAGCAAGTGTAGAGTCCAAAATCCTCCTCGGTCACATTTACAATATTCACCTCAACACCATAATTTTTTTTCACTCGAACGGTCCTGTAATAGTATCGGTCTATAAGGCGATATGATCCATTTAAAATTTCATTGTAAGTTTTCGGAATAGAATTGACGGATTTGTTCCATTTAAGCCATCTGAGATCCGGGAGAGTTCCACTAACAATAACAATACAGGTAAATGTCACATCATCTCCAACTTGCACAGTTTTGTTCTTTGGAAGACCTGTCTGTAGGATCGGAGCTGACTGAGGTCTGGCTGTTGAGAAAAGGGAAGATAATTTTGAAGAGAAGATACTTGAAGCTCTAAAAATATTACTTCATGATGTACAAATCAGAAGCCAGAAAAAAAATTTTCAAACGCTGACAAATTTGCAAAATCTTGAAACTTACAATTCCTTATGTGTCCCAAATAGCTCGAAAAAAACTTGTGGATATTCTAGTGGATGGCATACTATCTGTTTTGCCTGCCTTTATCGATAACATCATTGGTTATCGTGCGGTTTTGAGGCTTTCTTTCGGTATTTTTTCTCTCTCTAAACTGTAATTGTCACCATCCTGTACCGAAAATTCAACGCTTTTTTCTCTAAGAATGCCACCCTCTTGGAGTATTTGGGATTTAATAAATAATTTTCTCGGGGATTTCCTTTTTTGCGTCTATCCATAATAGTTTTGAGATTACGACTGTAATCAACAGAATGATAGTTGCCGTATTTGTTTTTCCTTTTTTAAGTGAAAACAAGGCGAAAAAAAAAATATATATATATATTTTCCCGGATCGAGTGAGTTACAATGTCATATAGGTTAACTTATAAATCAGCGAAAATTTCATTTGCTAGACTTACCAACAACTTGAAGAGTAAAAGTGTGATTTATCGAACCATATTGATTGGATACTATGCAGGTGTATCTCCCAGAATCAGCGGGTGAAAGATCTCGCAGTTTCAGGTACCAAAGGGAAGAATTAGTATGTGGGTCCAAACGTCGTTTTTTTATGATCCTTCCGTCCTTCAACCATTTGTATTTGAGCGGTGGTGCACCAATTGCTTGACATTTTAGTCGTATGGAGTGTGATGCAGGCCATGCCCTGAACGATCTCTTCAGCAAGTTTGGATCACTAAATATTGGTGCTCCTGCTAAAGGAGCACCAAGGGTCGCAATACCGAAATACATAAACAGGTCAAAATAAACACAGTCGATCAGATTTCATTTCTGGCGCGTATTGTGCCGTAATAAATATGAACCCAAATCAGGCATTTTGCTTTGCTTTTGCCATTCTACTTCGACAAATTATCGACATGCAACAGCAACAAATATTTGCCTTTTTCATCCTGTATCAGAGATGGGTAAATGAATACATACAAATCCTGAATGTCGCTTTTCTTAGAAGAAAAACCTTGAATTCGTGTTGCACCTTACATGTGGACCATCCCTAGCTCAGCCGAATCATGGTTTGATATTCACTACTTGAGCTCTTTGCTCTTCTTACGGCCATTTGTCGTATTGCTTTCTTTCTTTTTCTGCCAAACCTTCAGCTGACCTGGAGCTGGTCGGGCCACAGGTGGCCCAGGCGCCAGCTGTGAGAAGATCATCTTGCACAATAACAGACATGGTGGAATAATAAGAGTTTGTATGAGAATATTTACGACCGCTCTAAGGAATAAAACAATACGTCAAATTCTCAATGAAAATAATTCACCTTACTTTCACAGCGTATCACTTGTTATCCAACCGTTTACTTTGATGAAAAGTACTCACTTTAGCGAGCTGTCCATTTCGAGGTTTACAACTTACATAGGGCTTTTCTTATGTACGTTGAAAACCTCGAAGTGGACAACTCGCTAAAATGGGTTCTTTTCATCAAAGAAAGCGAACAGATAACAAGTGATGCACTGTGGAAGTAAGGTGAGGTGACACATTGTTTGATTCCTAAGAGCGGTCGTAAATATTCTCAAACAAACTCTTATAATTCCGCCATGACTGTTATTGTGCAAGATGATCATCTCACAGCTGGAGCTTGGGTTGCCTGTGGTCAGGCTATCGCTCTCACTTACAACACATGCTGGACTATCGGACGGATTAAGCAAAATTCCGCTGGGTTCCACTTGATCTAAGATCGGTCCAGCCAATGTAGGGTCGAAATGACGAAAATTTTGGCTTAGGAATGATCCTGGCGCATAGTAAAAAGGAAAACATCCATTCATGCTGAAAGTTGGCGGGTGAATATTGAAATTCCCACCGATTTAATAGTTTAACTGCAGGTGACATCTGGGTCAAATGACTGCGTTGACAGCTCCGGAAGCGGTGTCTTTTGTTTTTTTCGATTTTTTCAAAATCTGCCTGCCCCACCCATACACTTCAGTGTCTTTGAAGTTTCTGCGGACTTTCCGAAATTTTAGAAATTTGTGAAACACCGGTCGCATAAGGAAACGCGTTGTAATGACAGACAATAATCCTTTTTTTGACGGATTATTGATCAAAACGTCCCTAGTGCGACCCGGGCCTATTTAATGAGAGTAAGTTAGCTCGAACGTTTTGGTTCAGGATACAAAAATTCTCCTCGACATTACTTTTTGTGCATTTCTGCGTATAATCTTAGATCCTACGAGAGAAACTTCTTTGAGGCACTTTTTGAGTGGTTCCATATATTTCTACAGGATCTAGCAAAAGAAATTTCTCTCCAAATCTAACTTTCGAGAGCCACTTTTGAGAGCGAGAGGGTAACAACTTGTCAATTGATCGATAGCAAACTTCCGCATTTTCGATAAGGTCGCACCGCCTGGTGAGGATCTACCGAGAACTTTTAATAAGTTCCTAATTCCCGGGTAGAAGACAAACTAGTAGAAAGCCCGTTGACAAACGTTGGAGCCCAACACCCGTTGAGTTTTAGATGTTTTAATAACGCGTGGCTACGTCCATTACGATCGGTGGTATTAAATAAGATTGGCTACGAGCAGTATACGGGCGTCTTTTCTCAAAAAGAGCGAAAACAGGGTCAAAATCCTACAAACCTCTGTTTAAAGTCAGCATTCGTTTAATATTTTTATTCGTTTTATGGTTGATATAGTGGTGATACTGAAAAGAGCAATTAGATGTCAGGCACTCTTAGGGTTTCAAGAGTTAATATTTTATAATAGAGGTCTAAACATCCATTCTAAACCAACCAAAATTGCAAGTACCATTAACCCTCCCTCTCTAATAGGCCTATCCTCACCCTTACCCCCCACCCCTCAAAAAAAACAAACTCCGCAAATAGCATTAGCACCATCTTAATTATGAAAAATAAAACGTTTAAGATCATGTAATTACTTCTAATTACAAAACTTATGACTTAACAGCACTTAATTACTTTTTTCTACTCTAGTACACCGCAGTCCTCTTGCCAATAATTGGATATCCTTTTACACGAAATGAAATTTGCTTAAGCAAAGGTCAACCCCATTGAATTGCTTAAACTGAAGTCAATAAAATGCAGAATTGGCTCAGTTTTCAAACTTATTGTGTTGGCCTTGCAACAGAGACACGAATATGATTAGTGTTAGTTCCTATATCACTTCCATTTGGGATATTGGCACTTTGTCGCCGAAGAAGACAAGGTGGCCATAAAACGATCACGAACACGGAACTTGTTTTCAACGGCAAACGATTGTCCCTCGAATATTGTTCATTGTGACTCAGGACCATAACCTTTCGCTTGTGATGACCGCTATCTACTTTGCTATGCTTAAGCGTTGAACAAACATTTGCGAATGTATGTAAAGCTATTCTGTAGCATTTCCTTTGACCCGTCTAGTAATAACGAGTTTTTCCTTGCATGATTCTAATGAATAGAGCCATTGATCTTGACTTATTTAAATATTCATATTTAACTTCAAATTGATCGAAGCGTGTTTTTCTCACACACGACTTTGAATTTAGGCTGACATAAAAAGCGGAAACCGTTTTCATTTTACAGTAATTCATACAAAGATCTGTCCGAGTCAATCGTTTTAACCAAACGTGAGTTTTAACCAAACGTGAAACAATGAAGGCCCTTTTTCCTCTAAATGTAAATGTTATGAAACAATGAAGTATTTAGATATCTACTTACCGGGTTGAGCAGTCTGCGTATAGATTATAAAGTTGACCAACAATATCGACCAACACCGCTTTGCCTGCATCCTCACATCGGCCAAAGCCTTCCTTTACGAATTAACGCACTCTTTACCGTAGAAATTCGCCAATCGGTCTAAGGTTTGCCGGATAACTACGGAGATAAGTGATATTCTAGGTTAGATGATCTTTGGGTGCCCCCCAGCCCCAAGATAAACCAGGCAGACAATTCATTTGCTTGTTGTCAATCTGATGGCACAATACTAACGTAGTGCCAAATTGCGAATTATTACTCAGGCTTTCCAAAGGAAACGCACGAGTTGAAATTCCGGCTTCGTTTTTTTTTTCGTTCGGCCGCAAATTGCAGTGAAGTCCTCATCACGCATGCACAACCTTTTGACTTTGACGCATGCGCGACATTTTGACTATGAGCACATGGCATGGTGTGATGGCTGACGAAGAGAAGCTTTCGTGGAGCAAAATCGGCACAGACACTGTGTATAATACGCTCAAAACGCATACAAAATATGCACACATCGTTCGCGGTAGAGCCACATTAAAAGATGTCGAGCGTTTTCCGAACGGATTGGTCCACGAACCTTGTGAGAGATCTCCTTTCATCGAGAAACATGCTATATCAACTGAGCTATCTTATGTTAATCGAGAGAAGGATAGACGTAAATCTCATCGTGTATGTAGACGTGATCGTGAACCAAGCAGAATACCAATACGAAGTTTAAAAAAGGTTGAGGAACAAGAGCAGAAAGGTTAGAAAATTTGTCTATATACGTATTCTCTCGTGTATCCCCGTGTCATCTACATTGTACTGTTATGTTAATACTAAAAATAATTAAATGAAAGGACTTTTAATTTTAATTGTCGTTAAAGAATTCGTCAAAGTATAAGAAAGGTAAAATATCTTGCAAGTCGATATTTAACATTGTTTTCTTGTTGTGACCAAGCTCACAAAATGCATGACATCTTTATCATAGTTTTAGAGTTACATCTGTAGAAACTATTTCCTATTGATAATCAAATCATCCCATACACAGGATTTGCATCATAAATTTCCTTTATGTCACACTACCACACCTAGCCTCAAAATCATACGAATTTCCTGCTATTATTCGATTCCTTATAAAAGAAATACATTTAGTTAGTTTAATTCAGTAGTTCAGTGTCAAGACTTGCACTTACAAGCTCAGGACCTCTTGGTCACGAAAAGTAACTCCATTGAATCGCAAGTTGGTGACCTATTTGACTGAGGATTTGCTTGCAATTACCCTTTTCTTTATTTGTACTTTCCTGTATAAATAAATTTATTCGTGGCTATAAGTCTGTCTCGTTGTTCAAATAACGACATCAGAACCTGCCTCGGTCACATTGTAAAAGATGTGTTCTTGCAAGAATGAGGCTTCATGTAGCAAATTATTGTAACTATAAATTAAGTAGATAGTAGTCAACATATGTTAACCCTAACAAAACAATAGTAGCTCTATATAATCAACGTAACGAGTTAGTATTTAGCATTAGCATTAAATGTGTTTGATACTGATTATCAACTGGAATGCAGTGAAAGTTACCCTGGTACTGTTCGCCAAGAAATTGCTATATTGAAACTATTATAATCTTACAGTATGTCCTTTTCCTCACTGCATATATACAGAATGGAAACATTTTCATATGCATATGAAAATTTGCAGTTACTTTAATTAGTAGACTCTAAATGTTTTGTTCATTATCAACTGCTACAAACTAAATAGTCATTTTTCATTCAAGGGCAAATGAAAATGGCGGTTTTGATTAGAGTGATTTCAATAGGCCTGGGTACTGCTGATGAATTACATTAATGTTCTTAGCTGTTAAATGCTTTGTGACCTTTTGTTTCTTCACATCTTTTAGAGTGATATTCATTTTCCCATGAAATAAAGAAATGACTATTTAGTTTGTAGTATTTGATAAAGAACAAAGGAAAACAGTAAATTCACAGTACACCATTGCCACTTTCACCGTCGCTTCTTCATCGCTTTCCTCGCCATCCTCATCAATACCCGAAAAATCAATATCAGAACCATCTCCCTCAATATCTTCGGTACCTTCTTCAACTGAATCGCCAAAAACCGCCCTGTATTCGTCGAAACTAATTTCTAAAGGACCTACGCGCCTCGCCATTTTCCACTCAGGTTATTGTCAATTTGGAGCCGATAAAGCAAATAGCCATCACGCAGGAAGTTTCTTTGCTTTATCGACTCCAAATTGACAATAAATTAAGTGGTTTTACACACTCACGGACGAAATTGCTCAATCGTTTCTTTATCAGAAACTGATCATCGCTGTCGCCATGTTTGTGCACGCGTTCATGATGCATCCGTCTATCTCATCGTCGGGAAGCATAACTTATGCACAGTAACGACGATTTGATTGGTCAATGCCTCAGTAACAATAAACATATTTAATAAGCATATATTCTTTAATAACAACAAGTTTCCGGTTGGCCGGTTTTGGCCAGACCAGGAGTGAAAGGGCTAGATACAATTTTGATTTTTTTTTTCGAGTATTGATTTGATTAAATTTTGTTTTGCGGGATAAGGGTTGTAGCAGGGTAAGTCTTTTGCCAAACAGGCTGTCTTCTTATGTTCTCTTTTTCTTTATTGGAAAAAGTTTCATGCTGAGGTAGCTTTTAATTCTGAACAGCCCCAGGTGCTAGGGTGATGACACTTAACCAAAAGAAACAAAAAGTCTCTTCTAAAGATTATCACCAGATGAACTATTAATTTTATGGGATTGTTAGAGTGGTTCACGTGAATGTGTGAAATACACTTTAGCATATTTTGTACTATTACCTCCCAATTTGTTCGTTTCCATTTGGAGATACTGGGCTAGTATACTTTAGTTAATACATTTTGGTTTATTGGTTAGAGTGGTTTCACTAGACCTGGTGAGTACTACGTAACTTTTAGTGTTTAGAGTAATTTTCATTTTCCGTGAAAGAATAGGGTTATTAATAGTTAATGGTGTACTGTGAATTTATTGTTTTCCTTTGTTCTTTATCAAGTACTACAAACTAAATAGTCATTTCTTTATTTCATGGGCAAATGAATATCACTCTAAAAGATGTAAAGAAACAAAAGGTCGCAAAGCCTTTAGCAGCTAATAACATTAATGTAATTCATCAGCAGTACCCAGGCCTATTGAAATCACTCTAATCAAAACCACTATTTTCATTTGCCCTCGAATGAATTTCGAATGATTTGCCCCCTTGTGTGTCGTTATAAATCAAAGAACACAAACTCATTGCAACACATTGTTGTCCTGCATTCTTTCCAAAAACTAACTCGTTACCTTGACTATATGGAGCTACTGTTGTTTTGTTAGGGTCAACATATATTGAAGGGTCAGAATTTTTCTCTATGTCTCTACTTCAATTATAGTTGCAATATTTTGCTACATGAGCCTCATTCTTGCAAGAACACATCAGTTTGTTAAAAGAAAACAATGTTAAATATCGACTGGCACGATATTTTACTTTTCTAATACTTTGACGAATTCTTTCACGACAGTTAAACTCAAATGTCCTCTTATGAAATAGTTTTTTTAGCATTAACTTAACAGTACAATGTAGATGACTTGGGGATACATGAGAGAATGCGTGCATAGACAAATTTTCTAACCTTTTTGCTCTTGTTTCTTAACCTTTTCAAACTTCGTATTGGTATTCTGCTTGGTTCACGATCACGTCTACATACACGATGAGATTTGCGTATATGCTTCTCTCGACTAACATTAGATAGCTCAGTTGATATGGCATGTTTCTCGATGGAAGGTTCACTCATAAATGTTCGCTCATAAAGAGATCTCTCATAAGGTTCGCGGACCGACCCGTTCCGAAAACACTCGGCATCTTTTAGTGTGGCTCTACCGCGAACGATGTGTGCATATTTTGTATGCGTTTTGAGCGTATTATACACAGTGTCTTTGCTGATTTTGCACCGCGAAAGCTTCTCATCGTCTGACATTACACTATGCCATGTGCTCACTACTCAAAACATCGCGCATGCGTTAGAGTCAAAAGGTTGCGCATGCGTGATGAGGACTTGACTGCGATTTGCGACCGAACGGAAGAAAAACGAAGCCGGAATTTCAACTTGGGCGTTTCCTTTGGAAAGCCCGAGTAATGAGATGTATGAGTAGTAAAGCCATCAGTTGTTTGATGTTTTGTTAAACGTGTATCTTCGGGTCGACCAGCCACAGGGTCATACCTTTTCCAAGTTTACTCTCCAAGAGGCAACTTGGAGAACTGCTACTCCTCCGAGCAGGAAAGGTGGTGACGGTGCATGGGGGAGCATGGCAACTTTCTTATTCACCATGTTTTGAGGTTTTTGCAGATTTCATTTGATTTGACCTTTCTTTTGTAACGCGATCACTTTGTGAGCTATTTCGCTCCCGGAGCGCGAATCTCTGTTTTTCAATCCCCTTGCGGCGTCGTAACTTGCTCAAGCGCTCCCCAAAAAACCGCCAACTACGCCTTGCATGTAAAAAATGAAATGAAAAGTATTGTCAAATGTTTTTCATGCTATGAAAATTGAAATTGCACGAAGAGATAATAAAGCATCCTTGCTGGAATGAAAGTTTCTCAGTCACATCCTTCCTTTCTCATCATCTCTTCGAATATTTTCACGGCCCGGCAAAGATGACAACTTAAGGAGGATAAAAGTAAATTATTTTCACCATCTGGGGTTACTTTTCTTTCTTCTGCTACACCAAAAATTCATTCATGGAATCAGTATTTCGAAAGGAGCTCTGATCTGCTAATTTCAAACTTCAAAGTATGATGAAAACGTATCTGTTAGTAACCGTAAGTTTACATTTTCCACCCAACAAAGTTCTTATAATACTGATTACGTATAAATAGGGTCCAAAATAAGTGATAGCATTGACCCTCATGAAAATAAAGCCATAATTGAGGTTTTTTTTAAAATAACATCTATGTTAGCGTATAGAGAGTGGCATGTTGCTCGCACCAATCAGATCGTTTGGGGTATGTATCTCGCGCCAATCAGATCGCCGCATTAGGGTATGTATCTCGCACCAATTAGAGCGTCGTTTTTGTTCTTTGGTTTGAGGTGTTCAAATTTCAACGAAGTAATGGGGGATTCGGAGAGAGCGGTTCGTAAAATAGAATCACCTTTTAGAATGAGAAATGTTGGCTTTTCTGTGTTTTTAACGTGTATTTTACCGCGCTTTATGAGAAAAATGCGATACTACTGGACAGATGAAAGATATCAGATTACCCATAATAAACGTGTTACTCATGCTGTGAAAATGGTGGATAGTTGTTCGAGAGAAAATGGAGTTCTGTGCACTGTAGCACGATCATGGTTATTGTTCCTTCACGACGAGATAGAGTGGAAAAATTTTAATCAAATATTACTTGAGGTGTTGATGAATTGCACCAAACATTTTGATTTGAACAGTTCTTAACTGCAAGCTGCGTAGCAGGATTAAATTTTATATTTTTCTGGATTGGTTTGCTCGGTGCTATCCCTAGATGAATGTCTGATTAAAGTTAACTGTGGACGATTTTGAGTATGTTTTCGATGCCTGGAGAAAGTGGTCTTGTGGAGTCGTTTGTGTTTGGCCAAGGACTAGTTCAGATACCATCGTTAGCATGTTTCTTTGATTTTGTTATCTGGAATGAATGATTTACGGAGGTAAGTTAATATGATGTGATCCACAAACGTTGAAAATATATCAAGTCGAAGGAACAATTTGGTCTCGGTCCGCATTTTTGTGAACAAAATAAACACATACCGCTTAAAAAGATGATAATACGGACCACGTGCAAAACTGTCAGTTGTTTCTCGAATGTTGTGCGTGTTAAATATTCAATAGTGACATCTCATTTACATCTACTTTTATTACTTTAGTAAAATCTGTACAGACATCACACCAACCAACTTGCGCGCAAAATGAGAAGACTACACGAAGGCTTAATTTATATTAAGATCGATTTTGATCAAGAAATGGGCCAGGAATATTCCACAATAGTGCAGATAATCGTGAAAGCTGATCACAGAAAAGCGATTGCGTGACGCTCGGTAAGTTGTAAGATGAAACGTTATCACATACCAGACGAAAAAACTCTTTAGATTCTCAGTCTCGTGGCACCAGTACAGTTTAGTTTTGGTTACAGTTATTCGCACAACGCACACAATCTACCACAAATACCTGTGTGTGAGTTAATTCGACACTTTAATACTTAATATTACTTACTTTAATACCGCGTTAATACTCTTCTTTCCTTTTGTAAGAATGTAGACATCACTTACAATGTTTCAAGTAATCCACCTACCCCCCCAAAAAATAACTCCTGCATGCATAGCATGCTTACGTTTTTCAAAGCATTCGGAATGCAATGACATTCTTTGTATGAGGACTTCCTTAAAGTTCTCTGAAAACCTTGTGATTTCACTACATACGGTAGATATATGCATGATGAAAAAAGACCTACACGTTAGATTCAATCGTCATCTCTTGTTTCTGAATACGAAAGTCTTCAATATCCAACAAAACTGCTCTATAGATGACTAAAAATGTTGAAATGTTACAAATTTTCATGATACTAAAATTGAACGTTCTTGGGAAGCCCAAGCGAATGTAAGTAGATGTCTCATTTGAAAGCACAAGGAATTGGAAGGTAAGTAGAGAGTAACCTATTCCGCGCAAGTTGAAAATGTCACCTTTTTACTACACCAACGTGCGAGCATGTGACCGCTCAGACAAAGATAGCTTATTACATAATTTGTTTCTGTGGCGGATCGCTGGGAAGCGTTAAACACTTAACCAGTTTTCTGTCCCAGTGAACCTTTTCAACAGACTTTTGAAGGTCTATGTAGCTTCTTTTTCGCAGCTCCTTGGGAAGTTTTGCTCTATCAACGTCATCAATTTTGATTACGACTAAACTATCATCTCTCCTTTCCATAAGTCGATGGAGGGCATAATCCAATTCAGAACCACAATAATTGCTATTAAAAAAGTTCTTAGACACGACAGCTAGTGTTTTTCTAGACTTGTAAACACTGTTGATCATATTTTCGCGGAAAGGTACTCCAAGAACGAAATCTCTGTAATGTACACAGCATTTAAAATGGTGTTTTTCCTCAAGAGTTGGAATAAGAATTTTAACCACCCAATCCGAATCTTGGGAGCTGAAAATAACGAACGCATCGTATTCAAATGTAGGTTCTGAAAGAAGAAAATAAGAATATGATATTAGCTAAGGGGTTTATGTTCAAAAATTGGTACAGTAAAACTTTTAATCAAGCCCGTTGAAAGCAATGCGAACATGAGGGCTAACTGGCTGGTTTATAATGACCAGAAAGGACGTTCTCTGGTTCAAGCTTTCGGCTTCCAGTCTAATACGTGCATAAAGTAAGATGAACAAAAATATTGTCTTAAATAAAGCTGCCAACCTTCAAATTTAATTTAGACTTACTTGACAATGAAACTGAAGGTTTCAAGGATTTTTTTATTCGGTTCGATAGAAGACGCCAACAGATAACGATTAAAATACCCACAGTAATTAGCACACATGCTGCGATGATTCCAGGAACAAGAGCATTGTGAGTCTTCTGATCTGATGAATGACAATACGTTACAAGGTTATCATATCTTATCATCACAGACAGTATGAACAATAGAAGTTAGGACAAATCTGACGAAAAAATCGAAGTCAAAATAAAAAAACATGAGTTTTATATATATGTTGGTGTTTTCTTAGTACAAGTGGTAGGAGATAGGCACACTAAGGATTCCTCACTCCTAGTCATGCGCATTATGCGCCTATTTCCCATTTTGACTTCGACTTCGCTGCATTGAAAGACATGGTTACAATCATATGACACCTCCCTCGACATCGCACGAAAGATGTTAAAGCGTCCACCAGAAGAAATTATTACTTTTGATTGCCACAGCACCTAAATTCTCCATTGTGTGAGTTTGTCCATCTTTCAGGAATAAGAGCAATATCCACAAATGCAATAACATTTTTATATGCGAGAAAGTAAGAGCGTTGGTTGTAGCGAATCACTAAACATTTCGTAGAAGATTGTAGCACTTAATGTTTAATCGTGTAGCTTCAACAACAGTTAGCTATTTGGAAATGTTCAGGGACTAGAGAAGTAGAAAATCGACTCTTTTCATTTAGTTACTCGCCACGCATGCGTTTTTTTTCCAGAAGTTTAAGGATCACCTCATGTATATCACAGTTAGATTCACTGAAACGTTAAATTCTTGTGATAGAAGATATAATAGGGATATTGTTTGATTTAAGACCACTGGCATTCTCAGAACTAAGAAATGTGTCGCAAACGGTCAGGAGAATTCTGCATTAACGAGCTAAATCATTAAGTTTGATGAAGTAAGAACGTTTTCTGAGAAGTATACCATACAACGAATATGCAAAAAGGCTTCACTTAAAGGGGCAGTCGCTCTGCTAGGTGTGCATACGAGAAAGTTTGCTGCGTCGTGTTTTTAACAGATACTGACCTGTCACAGGAACCGTGGGTTTCACATACTTGACGAGGAATGCACTACTGAAGTCGTTGCCGATATGATTGCTCACAAAGCAAATGTAAAGTCCAAAATCGTCCTCAGTCACATTTACAATATTCAACTCGACACCATAATTATTTTTCACTCGAACGGTCTTGTAATAGTATGGGTCCATAACGCGATATGATCCTTTTAAAATTTCATTGTAAGTTTTTGGAATAGAATTGACGGATGTGTTCCATTTAAGCCATCTGAAATTCGGGAGAGTTCCACTAACAGGAACTAAACAGGTAAATTTTGCATCATCTCCAACTTGCACTGTTTTGTTCTTTGGCAAACCTGTCTGTAGGATCGGAGCTGACCGATGTTTAGCTGTTGAGAAAAGGGAAGATAATTTTGAACTGAAGACACTTGAAGCTATAAAATGACTACTACATGATATCTATATCAGAAGCCTGAAACGCTAAAAAATTTTCGAAATCTGAAAAATTACGTGTCCTTAAGCCTAAATTGCTTGTGAAAAATTGTTGATATTACTGTGGATGCCATCTTGTCTCTTTAGTGTTTCGCTAAATTATGCTGTTGTCATGTAATTGTGTACTTGCATATATGACGCATCGCTTTTCGTTCGCTATTCAGAGAATAATACATGGGCACGCGTAGATATGGAATTCAACTCGCTATCTCAGGAGAGAGCGCAGCGAACGAAGGAGATTTGGAATTGAAAACGAGAAGAGAAATTCCATATCGACAAGCAACCTTCAAGAGATTATAAACTTCTATACTACATTCTCTTGCTGTCATTTATTATTTGTTTATCATTCTTATGGACACAATAGGCCTTTGCTGACAAGAAAAGTCGACTTTACCAATGAACGAAAGTGTAGGGTCCACAATCCGCGAAGAAAGGGTCGTAAAGGGCATCGGCAATAGGGCTCAAGATGAAAAAAATGTGTTGAATCCCAGTTACAAAAACAAACAATGGACGTAACATTTCTGCAAAATGCATTACTCTTAAAAGGGCAGTCGCTCGACTAGGTGCGGATGGGAAAAAATTTGCTGCGCCTTGTTTTAAACAGATACTGACCTGTCACAGGAACCGTGGGTTTCACATTTTTGATGAGGAATGCACTACTGAAGTCGTTGCCGATATGATTGCTCACAAAGCAAGTGTAGAGTCCAAAATCGTCCTCAGTAACATTTACAATATTCAACTCGACACCATAATTACTTTTTACTTGAACGATCTTGTAATAGTATGGGTCTATAAGGCGATATAATCCTTTTAAAATTTCATTGTAAGTTTTTGGAATAGAATTGACGGATTTGTTCCATTTAAGCCATCTGAAATTCGGGAGAGTTCCACTAACAGGAACTAAACAGGTAAATTTTGCATCATCTCCAACTTGCACTGTTTTGTTCTTTGGCAAACCTGTCTGTAGGATCGGAGCTGACCGATGTTTAGCTGTTGAGAAAAGGGAAGATAATTTTGAACTGAAGACACTTGAAGCTATAAAATGACTACTACATGATATCTATATCAGAAGCCTGAAACGCTAAAAAATTTTCGAGATCTGAAAAATTACGTGTCCTTAAGCCTAAATTTCTTGTGAAAAATTGTTGATATTACTGTGGATGCCATCTTGTCTCTTTAGTGTTTCGCTAAATTATGCTGTTGTCATGTAATTGTGTACTTGCATATATGACGCATCGCTTTTCGTTCGCTATTCAGAGAATAATACATGAGCACGCGTAGATATGGAGTTCAACTCGCTATCTCAGGAGAGAGCGCAGCGAACGAAGGAGATTTGGAGTTGAAAACGAGAAGAGAAATTCCATATCGACAAGCAACCTTCAAGAGATTATAAACTTCTATACTACATTCTCTTGTAGTCATTTATTATTTGTTTATCATTCTTATGGACACAATAGGCCTTTGCTGACAAGAAAAGTCGACTTTACCAATGAACGAAAGTGTAGGGTCCACAATCCGCGAAGAAAGGGTCGTAAAGGGCATCGGCAATAGGGCTCAAGATGAAAAAAATGTGTTGAATCCCAGTTACAAAAACAAACAATGGACGTAACATTTATGCAAAATGCATTACTCTTAAAAGGGCAGTCGCTCGACTAGGTGCGGATGGGAAAAAATTTGCTGCGCCGTGTTTTAAACAGATACTGACCTGTCACAGGAACTGTGGGTTTCACATTTTTGATGAGGAATGCACTACTGAAGTCGTTGCCGATATGATTGCTCACAAAGCAAGTGTAGAGTCCAAAATCCTCCTCGGTCACATTAACAATATTCACCTCAACACCATAATTACTTTTTACTTGAACGATCTTGTAATAGTATGGGTCTATAAGGCGATATGATCCATTTAAAATTTCATTGTAAGTTTTCGGAATAGAATTGACGGATTTGTTCCATTTAAGCCATCTGAAATCCGGGAGAGGTCCTCTAACAAGATTAATACAAGTAAATGTTGCATTATCTCCAACTTGCACAGTTTTGTCCTTTGGCAGAGCTGTCTGTAGGATCGGAGCTGACTGAGGTCTAGCTGTTGAGAAAAGGGAAGATAACTTTGAACTGAAGATACTTGAAGTTATGAAAAGATCGCTACATGATGTACAAATCAGAAGCCAGAAAACAAATTTTGAAACGCTAAAAAATTTCGAGATCTGGAAAATTACGCGTCCTTATGTGTAGTAAATTGCACGGGTAAAATTGTTGATATTACGGTGGATGCTTTCTTTTTTTCATTAATGTTTCGCTAAATTATGCTGTCGTCATGCAATTGTGTACTTGCACATATGACGCATCGCTGTTCGTTTGTTATTTGGAGAATAATCCATGGGCGCGTGTGTATATGGAATTTATGTTCGAGTGTTCAACTCGCTATTTCACAAGAAAGCGCAGCGAACGAATGAGATTTGGAGTTGAACACGAGAAGAGAAATTCCATATCTACAAGCAACCATCAAGAGATTAGAAAGTGCGTCGGCAATAAGGCTTAAGATGAAAAAAAAATTTTAGAATCCCAGTTACAAAAACAAACAATGGACTTAACTTTCAATACACAGAGTTCTCAGCTATTGACTTTATCCTCACCGCCAGACAAAATATTTTCAGGTACACGGCCAAAATCGGCTTGTGACAAATTTCCAGTTGTCAATTTTCGTTCTCAGCCGCGAGAAATATAATTACCAAAGCCAGGAACGAAACCTTCGGTTGTTCTTTTCGTATTTTGGTTCTCTTCCGCCCGTGTAGCAAATTTTAGAACGTCACTTTCCATAAGCGAAACGAATTTTTCAGTGTTTTTAGCAGGCATAATACGGCTTTTCTCATAGTTGGAATCCTTATAAAACACTGCAGTATGTATAATAAGAACTTATTGTTTGTATCATTAAAAAATTGAATTGTTATGGAATATTCAGGATAGTAAGCATGCTCTCTTTGGTCGATAGGTTTTGGTTGATAGGTACGTAAACACAAAGTAAACATAACTGCGTCCCGTTTATTGTTATTTGACAAATATTTTATAGAAGCAGCTGAGGACTTTTTCACGTGTTTACATAGCCTCATCTAAACACTCGGGGGATAAGGAGAATTTTCGACTGTCCTGCAGACCCGAAACGCAGTTAAGGGTTTGCATAACTTTCTCAAATTGTCCAAACCAACAGCGAGTCAAGATGAGGCTATGAAGACACGGCAAACGTCCTCCATTAGCGTGATTGTGGTAAGACTTAGAAGTACTAGTATCAGTACTATCATTATTGCCATTTAGTTTTTATATTCTAATTAAAACATTTCCAGAAAAGTATTGTTCACGGATTTCAGAGTCTTGTAAAAAGTTCTTCATTGAGTTTGAATGTTTAAGTTTGCTTCTTGATGAATCGTCTACGGTATATATATATGTTATTTGCCGGCTGGGAGGTCCATATGGTGAAAAACTGTGACTGAGGTCTTGAAAATACTGCCCGAGGCCGTAGGCCGAGGGCAGCATTTTCAAGACCGAGGTCACAGTTTTTCACCATACGGACCGACCCTTAGCCGGTAAATAACATATTTATTGTTTTTTAAACTTGACGAAATTCTTTCCGAAAGAACCCGAATGATTTATGGACGTAAATACGGCAAGATCTTCCATAAACTGAACAATTTTTGAGCGGGCAAATGGTAGTTAAAATAGAGGTGATGAAAATTTAAAGAGAGATGCCTCAGCGAAACATTTTCTTTTCCGTAACGATAAAGGTGATTTAAAAGGCTTCCAAACAAACTTTGAAACATTATTTTTCAAGTATCTGTCACAATCTGACACCTGTCAATTAGAGAGCGCGCAAGAAAAAAAAAAGCGTAGGAACATTTGAAAACAAACAGAACTAGTTTGGCAAGGGCTGTCACGACAATGTATTCTTCAAAATCAGTCAGTGATCTAACGGAAAGTATTATTCACTCTCATCGACCATTCATTCATGTACGAAGATTTACCTTTGTTCATTAAGTAAACGGCGAGGAAAGTAATTGTGAGTAAATTCAATTTTTTTATTTTGAAGTTGTGAGAGTTTGCTCGTTTGTTTGCTCCAATGGCGTGTGTGACTCTGGTATTTCCTTCACAAAAATAAATTCGAACGGCACACTCCAACGAGACACAAGGGAATTTAATGCGGCCTTTACTCAAAATATTCCATCAATTTCTGTTGTGCAATTTACGGTACAAATGTCTAAATTGAACGGAATTGGAAAGACTCACCGGGAGCGTATATTTGTTGTAGAACTTAAATTAAAACCTCGCTCGCTCTTTCACTATGAACAAATTGCTCGAGAAAATTCAGATATTAAATGAATGAAAGTTCCATCGTTCAGTTTAACTGTAACCAAATACCTCACGTTTCAACTTTCTGGGTACTTTTTGTGAACGATTAAAATTAATTGCAGACAGTTTTTAGGCCGCTTGTCAACCAACGTAATGACACTATTGTTTATACAAATTCATTCTGAAGCCAATATTTTTCTGTCAACCAAAGTGATTTGATAGAGAGAAAAGAGAGGATTCATAAGTTATTTATCGGCTTGAGGTAGTGACCGACGTGTTTGCTTAAAAATACTACCCAGCCGGAAAACGAGGTATATTTATGAAAAGTGACAACGAAAGTTGGGATGTACTCGGCGACTCACGAAAGCGTTACCGTGGCCCGTGGGCAGAGATAGGAAAATACTGACCGGGTAAAGAACCAATCAGATTGCAGGATTCGTTACCGTGCCCTCTAAAAAAACAATAATTAACTATACTTACCAACAACTTGAAGTGTAAATGTGTTATTTATTGATCCATATGAATTGGACACTATACAAGTGTATCTCCCAGAATCAGCGGGTATAAGATCTCGCAGTTTCAGGTACCAAAGTGAAGTATTAACAGTTGCATCCATAATATATTTTTTAAAGTCCTTTCCGTCCTTTAGCCATTTGTATTTGAGCGGTGGTGCACCAATGGCTTGACATTTCAGTCTTGTGGAGTGTGATGCAGGCCATGCCCTGAATGATCTCTTTCGCAAGTTTGGATCAGTAAATACTGGTGCTCCTGTTAAAGTAAAACCAAAAATACAGATATTACTGACCTATTTTAAGCGAAGCACAAAGTAGGTTAAGTTTATGATTTATACTGTGCACGCTAGACCTTTTTTTTCGTAATACAGTATATTCTGAATTAATATAACTAATATGCATGTTTCTTAATCTCATTTATGCGTTTGGAAAAATGTACAGCTGCCAAAACGTGAACAAAGAAATTTTATAAAAAATGAACGAATACTGTGGTAAGCTTAGAAGAAAGTAGATTAACACTGCGAGGGCTCTAAATATGTGAGACTACTCGATAGAATGCTTCTATTTTGCTTAGTTATGTAAACGCGCTTATATC